CTTATGGTTCCAGGTCACCTTTAATCTTCATCAGAGGTAACATGAACGCGCAGCGTTATATCCACGAAGTTCTAGAACCCCATCTTTTACCCTATCTTGACACCCTGGCAGATCCAACTTTCCAACAAGATAATGCCCGACCACATATTGCAAGAGTCACAATAGACTTCTTTCAACATAATGATGTCACATTGTTACCATGGCCACCAAGATCTCCCGACTTATCCCCAATTGAGCACGTGTGGGATATGATGGGTAGGAGATTGCTCAATTTGCAACCTCCTCCTCAGACTCTAGAAGCACTTCGAGAGGAGTTGGTGGTTGCCTGGAATGAGACACCACAGGAGGACATTGACCACCTGATCAGAAGCATGCCTAGGCGCGTTGGAGAATGCGTAGCACATCAGGGTGCATCCACACATTATTAAAGGTCAAAGGGCTTTAAAGCAGTGCAATCATTTTGAAATTTTTATCATTTACTTATTATGCTTCATTAAGTACTTATACAAAATTTTATTAAAATAAAACCATTTAAACTGGGTGTTCGGATTTATATGTCACTTAGTATATATTCTCCAAGTCAACTAATAGCAATTAGATCCAGTTGATATTCCCCAGACCAACTACTGGACCACAGGTTCTTACTCCCAGGTTTTTTCTTGTGCTGTGATATTGGATCTCAAATGAGCATACGTTTTCCTTTGCCATCTCAAGGCCACACACTCCTCATAAGACAAACAACATAGTTCCGTTCAGATGTCTCGCATTTCAGACAAACAATGCACATGCAGCATTTATAGTCGAAGATTGTTTTGCAATAACCAGTGTGTTGCGACAACAATTCTGGGTGTTAAAATGCGGCACAATTGACCAAAAAATCTTATTTTCTCGTATTTCCACAACAAAAAAGGTTTACTTGTTAGAAATGTCTAAAGCTAATATTTTTCCAGATATTTGTTTTTAAAGGTTCCAATGCATTATTTGTACCATGATGTTAAAACATTTTTATAACATAATAATCAAGTTGCTTTGGATAATATCTGAGTAGCGTTGCTATGGTTTTTACCAATAACAAATGAGGATGGCACCTAAACTAATAAACGGAAATGATAACTTCAAAAATTGTTCAAAATGAGCACCACCTTGCCTAACACACTCTCGAGCTCGACAAACCAATCCTTGCCGCACTCTTCAAAGCATTTGAATGTTATTTTTCATTTCCTGGCTATGGTGGAAATTCTTTGTTGAATATCATCTACACTTTCCACTGGCGTATTATAAACGCGTCGTTTTAAATCATCCCAGAAGAAGAAATCCACAGGATTTAAATCTGGTGATCTGGCCGACCACGATACAGGTCCTGATCTTCCTATCCACTGGCCTGGATAAACTCTATATATGTGCTCTCTAACTAATGTACTAACATGAGGTGGAGCGCCGTCGTGCATAAACCACATATTCATGCGTGTTTGTAATGGAAGATCTTCCAGCAGTCTAGGTGTTTTTTTTGTGAGGGGGGAATGCGTTCATGCACCATACAATAGCCCGAGCTACGGCGTGTGTGGGACTCCATTTCATCTTGAGGAGACCACCTAATACCTACTAAACCCTAACCTCCGCGTGGCCCGACTCATCAGCGTCTCGGTAAGGCCATGTGTTGTGCGTGACCTGCGGTCTGCTACAACGTCTCCTCATGTGTGTTCAGTCTCTGGGAACGCCGGGTTGGTTCCCTTTACCTCGCACAGTTCTATCGATGTCGTTAAGCGAGCATCGATAGAGGGTTTGCTATGTCCTCTTGAAGCCCTTGTTTCCGAAAAATCAAGAGTTTCAAGTCCTCTACTTGTTTGTTACCTGGTCCTGATGGGTCCTGGTCCTGGTTGGTCCTGGTCCTGATGGGTCCTGGTCCTGGAGGTTCCTGGTCGGTCCTGGTCCTGATGGGTTATGGTCCTGGTCCTCGTCCTCTGCTTCCACGCCGTGGGGGGGTTAGGGCCTGCCAACTGTGACTTGGGTCTAGGGTACCTGGCGGTTGCGAGACCCCTCGTGCGGATCGTAGTCCATGAGGAGTCGTAGCTGCTGGTTCGGGTGGTCCTGAGCTTTCTGGAAGGTCTTCTCCGCTTTGTCTAGGTGGTAACTCAACGGGTCCCTTTAAATACTGTCCAATTATTCCTGCCCATGAATCAGTTTGAAATTTTTCTTGGCGGCGAGTTTGTATTATTGCATGAGGATTTTCGTGTGCATATGCGAATTAATGGGCCCATCCCTTCCAAATCCTGCTTCATCCACTATGTCGGCCCATATTTTGAGCAAAATTACTTAAAATCCAAATGGTTTACTACTCAAAATAGGGCTATAATCATTTCTTACCAGTTTCTCGTAACCGCTGATCGATTCGAAGTCCCTGAATTAGACAGGTGTCTGTTAGAGAATCTGTCAGCGTACAATCTTCGTGCTTTTAAAGCATTACATCTTGTCAATCCGTACATTAAATGCATATCAGAATATTCATCAAACGTATATTCCGTTAAAGCAATATTACGACAAACATTAGAAACCATAGCAATGCACAGTGCGCGGACAAAAATACACAACTTAGATTTAACCTTTTTCATTGTATTTTGAACCTTAAAATACAGTTGTACAAACATAAAAATACAATTTATAAAATTCTTTTTTGGAAAAAAATACTAAATACTATATATATATATATATATATATATATCAATATTTTCAACTACATTTAGCCAATCTGAATACTTTTATACCAATATATTTTTATAGCGATTCGACTTTACCCAATAATGTGAAATTCGTTTACATAAATTTCTAATTCTATCACTTAATCTCCTTAAATCAACATTTTCGATGTTATCTGAAAGACACGACGTTTCAGTCAACAGCTATCAGAAAAATATTTAAAAACATTTTATGTATGTGTTTTGAAAATTATAGGTCTTTGAAAAAAATATAGAAATTTCACACCCTACGGCAGTCTGTCAACTCCTGTTACTACAAATATTAACTTTTTTTGGATTTTATTTTTACAATGTAATGATGAATAATGCTTCTTCAAACTGGTGTCTCAACCTTACTGCCAACTTTTCTCGTTCAGAAAAAATTGCCACTTATTTCCCAACCAAGTATTCCAAAGTAAAACTTTGCTCAACTTTAACTGGCTGTACTGGAAAAAAATGTACTACGAGAGTTTGGCAAGTAAAAAGTTGGCGCATTTAATAAGGATTCCAAAATGGTATAACAGTTACAAGATTACTCGTTAACTTATGCACAATTTTTATTTGAAAAAAAGTGATGAAAATTTTTCAAAATTTCCTAATTAAACAGCGATTATGAAAACGCACAAGGACCCTTGAGGATAACTGTTTGCACAACAGTGGGCGTCAAAATGCTGCTGATGATGATTTACCTTTACAGCAAATGCTCAAACTGTTTTCCTTCAGCCGCAATACACGCTCGACATCTTCTTAAAAAAGATCGGGTTATTAAACGAGCGAATCCACGGTTATTAACAAACTCAGCTGCTTCCAATAGTCTTTGCCGTAGCTCAGCTACATTTTGAATCGGCTTGAAATACACTTTTTCTTTTATATATTGTATTGTACCAGACCGCCTTATCCATCTGCCTGGAAAGTTTTGATCGAGATACTCTCTCACTGAGAGCGCATAGTGCGCTGGGCAGCCATCATGCTGAAACCACATATCCCTGTAAATACTCAGTGGCACGTCCACCAATAAATTTTGTACATGATTTTTCAAAAAATCCAAATAAACTTCAGCAGTCAAAGTCTCTGGGAACTCAAACGGACCGATTATTTTACCATTTAAAATTCCTGTCCAATGGTTTATCTTGAAGCGATAAAGTTTTACTTTGGAATAGTTGGTTGGGAAATAAGTGGCAATTTTTCCTGAACGAGAAAAGTTGGCAGTAAGGTTGAGACACCAGTTTGAAGATGCATTATTCATCATTACATTGTAAAACTAAAATCCAAAAAAAGTTAATATTTGTAGTAACAGGAGTTGACAGACTGCCGTAGGGTGTGAAATTTCTATATCTTTTTCAAAGACCTATAATTTTCAAAACACATACATAAAATTTTTTTGAATATTTTTTTGATAGCTGTTATGACTTTGCCTATCACCCGGTTTCGGCTTGACGTCGACTTCTGGGACACCCTGTATATGGTTCGCTCCTCACAAACCTAAGAAGGGGCAGAAGGATGTAGATGAAACCTATGTGCTCCTAATCGAGACATTCTCTACTTTGAGATAATATTTATCTCAGCTGCAGCAAGGCGCAGCCAAAAGTTTATGACTCGAAAGGAATTAATTTTGTAGGAAAAAAAATCTAGCAAAACAACTTTCAATAAAAAATTTATATAAAACTCCAAAACGCATGTTTTTATGTAAAACAGGTAAATAGTAAGAGTAAATACCATATTCTTACACCTCCATATTATCACTACGTGAAAACACATAATTCACAAAAAAAGTAAGTGGCAATGACTACACGTCCCGGTAATTAGACTCGAGAAGCTGTCACTTGCGATGGACGAAAGTAAATGACAGTTTGAACTAATTGCATTGTTGTTCATAGTTTTATGCCAAAATTTGAAATACTTCTCAAGCAATAAGGAAAAATAGAAAATAAAATTGTATCTTTGAGACCCTGTATTTCGCAAACTATCAACTTTGGTATGTTTAGGTCAATTCACATATTTTGGTCTGTAGTATCTCCAGTTTCGACATTTCCCAACCTTTCCCTGTATATGGGAAAGTTTACAAAAACTCCTACAAATGTGTGATTCTGTCAAAAGCTCGATTTCAAGGTAAATCGTGCACGTGGGCTTCAAATACGACATCACTTGACCGCGGGAGGCCCCACAGACCCATTTTCTAGCTAGAATTCAGCCCCACGAAACTGCATATTCGAACTCACTCTTCCGACTTAAATGTTATTAATGTTTTTCGGTTATTTCCTTTTCCAGATTTATACCAAATCACCATGGCCTACGCATACTGGAAATCAGGGAAAACGAAAGATCATGCTGTTTTTGACCTATTTTTCCGCAAAAACCCCTTTCAAGGAGAATTCACCATATTCGCAGGATTGGAAGAATGTTTGAAGTTTCTAAACAAATTCCATTACTCTGCTAGTGGTAAGTATGCCGAATGTCATTTATCAACATTCAGATAAGTCTTTTACAGTGAAAGCTTTGTTATCTAGTTTCACGATTAAGACACATCAGGAACAACTGTGGTCGTTATTACGGAATAAGTCGAACTGATATAAAATTAAAAACTATACTAAGTGACATATAAATCCGAACACCCAGTTTAAATGGTTTTATTTTAATAAAAGTTGGTGAATGTATTTATCTTACTGTAAATAACAAGTGAAAAAATTTTCAGCCTTATCAGTTGGACATTCCGGTTTTTATACTGCTTTTTTTTAATTCACTAACGCTCTAAAAATGAATATTTCAGCCGCAGTAAACGTTGGCGGATTTTGGTTCTTGACATCCTTTACGATCGGTTACGATGCCTAAAGTACGGAGACCTGTACGATTTCGTCAACTTAGTGAGTTTGATAGGGGCCGTGTAGTGGGACTTCGGGAAGCTGGACTTTCTTTTCGGGCAATTGCAGTTAGAGTGCAAAGAAGTGTAGACACTGTGGTTAGGTGTTGTCAGGCATGGCTTCGAGAAGGCCGTACGCAAAGAGCAAGGGGCACTGGACGCCGCCGTAGAACAACAGACCGTGAAGATCGCCGCCTAAGATTATTGGCCTTAAGGGACCGTTTCTCCACTACCAGGTCCATTGCAAATGAATGGTTTGCAGAACACGGAAGACCTATTGGCATGCGAAGTGTTTACCGACGAATGAGAAGTTTTGGCTTGTTTTCATACCGGCCACACTGGGTCCTCCCTTTAACTCGAGAACACCGACGTAAGCGCTTTGAGTGGTGCAGACAACGGTCACTCTGGGATCAGGAATGGAACAGTATTGTCTTTAGTGACGAGTCTCGATTTTGTTTAGGCATGCACGATGGTCGTGCCAGGGTTAGAAGGCGACGTGGTGAAAGGAGGACTTCACAGTTTTTTGTTGAAAGACATGTTCATCACACTGTTGGAGTTATGGTTTGGGGTGCTATAGCTTATGGTTCCAGGTCACCTTTAATCTTCATCAGAGGTAACATGAACGCGCAGCGCTATATCCACGAAGTTCTAGAACCCCATCTTTTACCCTATCTTGACACCCTGGCAGATCCAACTTTCCAACAAGATAATGCCCGACCACATGTTGCAAGAGTCACAATAGACTTCTTTCAACATAATGATGTCACATTGTTACCATGGCCACCAAGATCTCCCGACTTATCCCCAATTGAGCACGTGTGGGATATGATGGGTAGGATATTGCTCAATTTGCAACGTCCTCCTCAGACTCTAGAAGCACTTCGAGAGGAGTTGGTGGTTGCCTGGAATGTGATACCACAGGAGGACATTGACCACCTGATCAGAAGCATGCCTAGGCGCGTTGGAGACCGCGTAGCACATCAGGGTGCATCCCCACATTATTGAAGGTCAAAGGGCTTTAAAGCAGTGCAATCATTTTGAAATTTTTATCATTTACTTATTATGCTTCATTAAGTACTTATACAAAATTTTATTAAAATAAAACCATTTAAACTGGGTGTTCGGATTTATATGTCACTTAGTATAGTTTCAATTTTATATTGCCATCCTTAAAATGACTTCCTTCTGAAGCCACACAACGCTGGAGACGGTTCTTCACTCTTCATAGCAGTGCTGGAACTCGGATACTGGAATAGGTTTCAGCTGGTCGGTTTGAATGTTTCAGATTGCCTCAAAATGAGTTCCCTGCAGATGCTTCTTCAACTTCGGGAAGAGAAAAAAGTCCCAAGGACTCAAGTCAGACAAATAAGGAGTTTGAGGAGCCACGTGAATGTTTTTACTGGCCAAAAACTCGTTTATTGACATTGCCAAGGAGCATTATCGTAATGCAACACCTTGTTGTTCTTGATCTGATCCCGGATTCTGTCGATATTTACATCGATTCTTGAAGAAGGCCTTCGTGGTTTATCTTCAATCGACTTTCTCGCTTCTTGGTGTTTCAGAGACACCTGCTAATTTGTTTATAATTGTTGTGTGAGGGATAAAACGTGGGGTTGAGGCTTGCAGGGAGTAGGGGTGTATAAATGATGCATCTTCGATACCAGTGAAAGATTATTAAGACGTTTCTGATTCACCAAGATGAAAAAGTTTCAAGCAATTTGAACGGTTTCCAAAACGTTTATCGAATGATTCGTTCCTGTTTTAGTATTTTTATTTTAGATATTGAATACCTCAGGGACACTTTACCAGCAAGTACAGAAGAAGAATTCTTTGAATATCTCAAAACTGTGAATGCTACTGGTATTAGACTGTACGCGATGCCTGAAGGCTACGTATCGTTCCCTAGGTAAAAAAAAAACTACTACAGTATTTGATATTAGGCACGTGAAAATATGAAAAAAGTTCATATAAACATAGGTTTGGGAATCTCTTGATTCTATGGTACAAGGTGTTTGAACTCCTGTGAGTTTTTCGTTATGCTCTTTAAAAAAATGCAACCTTGATTATCACGAGGGAAATCTGGCAAATGGTACAAAAGTCATTTATTTCCAATAATCGATACATCATCATTAAGCTTAAATACTGGTCCATTTTTCTACATAATCGTCCAAGGCCGGATGGCATATATTCATATAACTTTTTGTAAAAAATGTCTTGCTTAACTTGAAACTATGTGGGGATATCCAAGCACAGATAAAGACGGTGAGATTTTTGAAGAATTTCTTGCGGTAAAAGGCTTGATTACTGCAAATATACAGGGTGACTTTGAAGTTGAGTCATTAATTTTCAGATAATGATTGTAGAAGGAGGATAAACCAAAATATGTGTGTAACAATAAAAAAAAAATGAAAAAAATGTTACCTTGTTTTATAAAGTATCCTCCCGACAAGTATTTCAGTGCGGATCTGTATTTGATCGTGCGGTCTTGGACCACCGGCATGCCCTCTCCTGCGAGGTCTTAAGTCACCTGATTCACGAGCCCTTTGTACTACATTCAGCATTTTCGTAAACATGTGCCATTTTTTATTTCGTTTGAGTAACGCAACAAACACCACTATTCACTCACGCATTACCCACTGACACATCGACTGAATACAACTGAATAAAATTGTACATTGTAGTAAAAACATCGTTTCAAATTCTTTCGCTTTTTTGTTTCCGATGCGATGAACGGGTAAAGCGGATTATATCCGTTGTTGCCAAACACGAGCACAATAATATTATTATTGAGACAGGGCAGTACTCAAACTTCTAAAGGGCTATAACTTTGTTACTTTAATTTTACCAGAAAAAACATTTCTTTTGATCAGATCTACTCAGTGTTAGAATAAATGACTCAACTTCGAAGTCACCCTGTATGTATGTAATCATGCATTAAAAATTGTGCACTTAAAGACGTAACACATGCTCTAAAAGCTACCTAATGCCGAAGTCTCCGTTAACATAGCGACAGGGCTGTAACGATAAGTTTTTAAAAGAACGGATTGTGGTCCAAGTTATCCCAAATGCATGAAAGATTTGATCATAGTAGAAGGGAAACTTAATCACATCCACTTAGGAGATCTGTAAATTAAGTGATCAGACTGATTTTTTTTAATTATTATATTCAAATATAATTACAATTTTATATTATCACCCTCAAAATAACTTCCTTTTGAAGCGATATAGTGCTGGAGACGACCCGCCACTCCACATAGCAGTGCTGGAATTCCGATACTGGAATAGCCTTCAGCTGGTCGGTTACAGCCCTCTGAATGTTCTTGACTGTCCCAAAATGAGTTCGTTTGAGGGAATTTTTCAACTTCGGGAAGAGAAAAAAGTCACAAGGACTCATGTCAGGTAAATAAGGAGGCTGAGGAGACACTGGAACATTTTTACTGGTTCGTTTATCCTGTGTGACAAGGAGCATATCGTGTTCGGTTCTTCCAGTGCTGGAATAGCCTTCACTCATTTTTAAGACACAATAGGAAAAAGTGTTTCACAAATAAAATCGCTACAGACAACTAAATGACTCCAGCGAGTTCAAACTTGTACTAAAGGCAGATCACTCCTCTCCAAGCCCAGCGCCTCCAGTATTGCCAGATCGACTGCTAAGTTGCCAGTCTCATCACTTAATTTACAGACCTCGTATATTGAAAGATAAACGCAAACGGTTTTCAAATCAAACAATGAGAAAATATGCAGCGTTTATCAGTTATCTGAACAGCCCGAAGTTTAAAACGATTTATGCGATCTCAAACATGAGCAAATTTCTCCGATACAACCTACTTTTGGGGTACCCCTCGTATTTTTAAATAACTATAAACAGTTTGATCTATTGTCTACAAAATAATTTTCATTTTGAAAAAGTTGCATTTGTACCAAAAGCGACAGTTTTCAAGAAGAATCAATCAATCAGATACTGATACTATTCTTCTGCAAAATCCAGCGGCGTACCGTTTTTCACTAAACTTAGAAACTTGCCGACACGTACACCTCTGATCTTAAGAAATCAATGTACATGTTGATATGAGCTTCAGTAGTCCCAAAACCCAGCTAAGTCTGCTTAAAAGAACTATCAAAGACGGACAATAAACTAAGCATTTATGAACCTATATTAATAGGAACATTTCTTTATGTTTGAACGTGCTAAATCTGTTTTCCTGAAAATATTCTGTAACACCTCGTAAATGTATTGAATTTTTTAGATTGCCCTTGATGAGAATTGAAGGTCCACTGATAGTTGTACAATTATTAGAAACTACCCTTCTCACTTTAGTCAACTATGCTAGGTAAGTATCTCGATACAATGATCAGAAACTTACAAAAACAAAGTCTTGAATTGTTAAAAACGCGACTGTGCCGGAAAATGATCGAGCACCTCGGAAGTATTAAATAACGAAGATTCAGGAAATGTTTTAAATTATTTACCAATATTATAGAATCACATGTTTACCTTATTCCTGCGCAGGGCTGATTTGTACCGAGTAATCAATTTATGAAGTGGTGGCAGCGTTGCGTGAGAATTGCATAGTCAACCTACTTGACGTCATTATTTTGATGTTGCATAACAGTAAGACTTTTATTTAGTTTGATGGCTACAAATGCTGCAAGGTACAGGATAGCAGCTGGTAACATGAAACTCTTCGAATTTGGTCTTAGAAGAGCCCAAGGTCCTGATGGTGGACTATCAGCTTCAAAATATGCGTATATGGGTAAGTTTTTCTATTAGTAGAAGAATAATCTGACAGGTTTCTATAGAAAATGTTTGACGAGGATCACCTACGGAGATACAGGTTGTTGATTAGCCTTAGTCGTAAAGAAACCCGAGGCAAAAATAAAAAGTCTGCAGGTTTTGATAATACTACACTGAACCTTTTAAGTCAAATTTTCAGTTGTATTGATCAGAATCAGGTATTTTTATCTAATAAATCTGTTGAGAGCGGTTATTTTTTGACATATTAAAACTCGCTACGATAAAACCTACATTTGAAAAATGATAACGCGATACCATAGATATACTAAGTGACATATAAATCCGAACACCCAGTTTAAATGGTTTTATTTTAATAAAATTTTGTATAAGTACTTAATGAAGCATAATAAGTAAATGATAAAAATTTCAAAATGATTGCACTGCTTTAAAGCCCTTTGACCTTTAATAATGTGTGGATGCACCTTGATGTGCTACGCATTCTCCAACGCGCCTAGGCATGCTTCTGATCAGGTGGTCAATGCCCTCCTGTGGTATCTCATTCCAGGCAACCACCAACTCCTCTCGAAGTGCTTCTAGAGTCTGAGGAGGACCTTGCAAATTGAGCAATCTCCTACCCATCATATCCCACACGTGCTCAATTGGGGATAAGTTGGGAGATCTTGGTGGCCATGGTAACAATGTGACATCATTATGTTGAAAGAAGTCTATTGTGACTCTTGCAACATGTGGTCGGGCATTATCTTGTTGGAAAGTTGGATCTGCCAGGGTGTCAAGATAGGGTAAAAGATGGGGTTCTAGAACTTCGTGGATATAACGCTGCGCGTTCATGTTACCTCTGATGAAGATTAAAGGTGACCTGGAACCATAAGCTATAGCACCCCAAACCATAACTCCAGCAGTGTGATGAACATGTCTTTCAACAAAAAACTGTGGATTCCTCCTTTCACCACGTCGCCTTCTAACCCTGGCACGACCATCGTGCATGCCTAAACAAAATCGAGACTCGTCACTAAAGATAATACTGTTCCATTCCTGATCCCAGAGTGACCGTTGTCTGCACCACTCAAGGCGACTACGTCGGTGTTCTCGAGTTAAAGGGAGGACCCAGTGTGGCCGGTATGAAAACAAGCCAAAACGTCTCATTCATCGGTAAACACTTCGCATGCCAATAGGTCTTCCGTGTTCTGCAAACCATTCGTTTGCAATGGACCTGGTAGTGGAGAAACGGTCCCTTAAGGCCAATAATCTTAGGCGGCGATCTTCACGGTCTGTTGTTCTACGGCGGCGTCCAGTGCCCCTTGCTCTTTGCGTACGGCCTTCTCGAAGCCATGCCTGACAACACCTAACCACAGTGTCTACACTTCTTTGCACTCTAACTGCAATTGCCCGAAAAGAAAGTCCAGCTTCCCGAAGTCCCACTATACGGCCCCTATCAAACTCACTAAGGTGACGAAATCGTACAGGTCTCCGTACTCTAGGCATCGTAACCGATCGTAAAGGATGTCAAGAACCAAAATCCGCCAACGTTGATTCTTTAGTGCGGCTGAAATATTCATTTTTAGAGCATTAGTGAATTAAAAAAAAGCAGTATAAAAACCGGAATGTCCAACTGATAACGCTGAAAATTTTTTCACTTGTTATTTACAGTAAGATAAATACATTCACCAACTTTTATTAAAATAAAACCATTTAAACTGGGTGTTCGGATTTATATGTCACTTAGTATAATTTGCTAGAGAGAGCAATGTATATAATTTTGCTGAAAAATGTCCTAAATATATCTCAACATGGGTTGGGAGCTGAAAGGTCTGTCGAAACAGCTAGATGTAACTTACTAGAACACGTCTATAACAAACGTATATGTATTTGCTTTTTGTTTAGCATTTGACACTATAGATAAAAATATATTGAGGCAAAAATTATATACTGCGGATATAAGAGGTTCCTTTTTGATGATCTCATACATGGAGGACAGAAAACTTAAAGTGAACCTGGGAAGTACAGTAACCGATGTGTATCCTGTTGAGCAGGGATCTGTATTGGGACCACTGCTATTCAACTTGAGTGATTTTCCCAGACATATCCCTGAGGAGTGTATAACTATGCCTTTCTGATAACTGAAGGGTAAAGGTGGATTGGGGTTGACTACTCGGTCTAGATTCGCCCAGATGATCCCCCTGAATCCACACTTGATTGAGAATTTTGCGCCCTGAGGCCGCCGCATCATCTGCTTACCGCCTGTAGCCGGCCCTGATTGTTGTGTTGTAACCTATACACTGAGAACCTTTGTCTGACGGCTTGAGTTCAATATTTACCAGAGCACTGTGTATACATCTGCCACGATGCCAACATGCTACACCAGTTCCTTGAGTTAACATACACGTTGAAAATATGCGTTAGCTTATTCTCTACGCCCAAACAATGGTTTTATGTATTTTTGAATTGTGCCGAATCTGTTTAGGATCGATTCCACATCGGTCCTAACGGCGCTCCAATTTATGAAAGGTTAGGTTCGCCACAAATTCTGCATCATTGGTTCGCTTGGCAACACCGCATCTCCTACATTCCAAGGCAACGTTTCCACCTTCATGCTCATATATGAGCGATTTTGGTCAGTACGTATCTGGTGGTCATTGGGGAGTGTCGTCCAGCTTCTAAATGGTTTTCACCTGCTTACACGCAGGCAGTGATAATCTGTATTGCGTAATGATATTTGTTACATTTTCCGACACTCGCTGTTGCAAAATGTAACAACTGATTTTATCACCATCGGTGGAAATAATTTTAACATCAATTAAAACACTACGTCGTATCAAAATTGAAATAAATAATTCTAACAAAAATGGAAACATAAAGTTAAACTGAAGACGTCCTTCTTGGGTTTGACAGTAACCTAACCTATTGTAGAAGCATGTTCGAACATGTTCTGGTGTAAAATATTGGCAACGCACCAGATTGCACGACCTTCTGCGTCACCGTTGCTAGGCAATGTGGTGACGACCTTCGCTCTTCAGTCGGCTTCTATTTCTGTCTAACATATGTAGATACACACTTCTCGCGGTTATCTCTCGTACGCATTGAAATCAAGCCGTCAAATTTGGTTTTCCCTGTTTGCTCTAACCTTACTTTGCGTAGTATATAAATTTTGACTGGACTAATTATCCAATGTATGGCCGCTAAACTTCAAACTTCTCGTGCCAGGGCGTGAATACCAACTATGAAAAATTGAATAACGCGAAGTTATCAGGGTATCCGCAATTTAGTATTGATTAGATATACTAGTTGACACCAGTGGTGCCTGGTACCAGCATCAAAACCATTAGGACCTGTCCATGTTCAGGGACAATCCAAAGAGGGTTATAGCAAGAACGTTCTGATAGATTCTTTGGCAGACACTTAAACACGAGTCAAGGTCGACACCAAACGGGGTCGCGGTATAAGCGGGTTGCTCTTACAGGGTGTTTCAGAAACAAGGAGCAAACATTCAAGGGGGGATTCTTTGGGCTATTGTGAGACAATGGTTTTCGAAGTTCTACTTCGTTTAACTTTGTTAGAATATACATTTCGAAGGAAAATCGCGAAATAACATTTCTTATTAGCTTCGTTCCCATGCGTGCCTGCAAGAATTTTTTTTTCTAGTGGGAGAGATAACTTTTTGTGAAAGTGTACCTGTCCCAAAAATTTCAAGGCCCAACCAGATTCTCAGGCGGGCGGGCTGGACATGAGCAAATTACCACTTTTCTGGGAAAGTACCAGTACCATCTTTTCAGTACAACAGCAGGAATCATGTCCTGACCACAAGCTTTGTCGTCGAGCGACATGAGCACCCATCTTAACGATCTTATGCCTGCCAGTTACTTTCCGCATAGTGTGGGAACCGGTAACTCTTTGAATAGACGGCACTCGGGTGTTGGCAGCGAAGGTTTGACTCTCCACGGTTTTTACTTCCTTTGTCAAAACTGGCGAGGAAGTATTATGATCGTGAAAAATTTTGAAAGTGAGATATTATGTTTTTTAGATGTTATATGACATGTACATGACGAAAAACTTTGTCACTGATTTCCGTCTGTCTCTCGGTCTGTCCGCTAATTTTATAGCCGCCTATAACTAGAAAAGTACCGCTCGGATTTTGATGAAACTTCTAAACAATGTTACTACTATGCCACTTCTGCGTTCTTTTGTAAATGATGACTTAAATGTATAGATATATGAGCGAACTATCTAAAACTGTAATGACTCATCGATGTTCACGTGAACATCACTTAACTACCAGTAGTCGGCTGTTCATAGGCGGGGTATGAATGTTTAACATGGGTGAACTAGATTTGTCACATGCTTAATAAAGAGTGGTTTGAAACATATTGTAAGTCAAAAATTTGGGAATTACCTTTATTCATCATCGCTTCCACTTACATCTGACAGTAATAAACTGTCGCTATCGCTTTCCTCGTTGAAATTGACTATAACTGGCTCTATGATGGTGTCGATGTGGTGGTCAAGCTGCCACATTTTTGTTTCTTCCTTCACAACATGACGGATAGCATTCTGCCAAGCTTCGGGCGTTACTAGCTGTATGGAAGTCTCAAGTAAAACCTTAACGTCTGGTAATTTGAAGGTTGTGTTATGGCACGCAATATAACCCTTCACTTGAGCCCAGATGAGCTCTATTGGGTTCAGTTCACAGTGGTAGGGCGGTAACCGCAGCACAGTGACACCACATTGACGGGCCATCTCATCAGTCACGTAACTAATGTTCGCAGGTTTGTGCTGTTTAATTTTTTCATACAATTCCGCTTTCAGACATGAATCGTCAAACGGGATTCCTTTTTCGCGCAACCATTGCTGCATGTCACTTTTTCGAGATCCCATAGTCGGTACACGTTCGGCTCGACGACTATGGTAGGAAGCATTATCCATGACGATCACAGAGTTGGGCTCAACTCGCTGAAGCACCCCTTGAAACCAGCTCTCGAAGCAGCTGGCATCCATTTCGTCATGGTAATCACCTCCTTTCTTAGAGACGAAAATCAAGTCACACTCTTCTAAAAAGCCACTATCGCTACCAATATGAGTTACGATCAATCTTTGACCTTTCCCTGACAGTCCACGAAGACCTGTTGACAAACCTTCAATGCTTGCTTGTCGGTTACTCACTACGTTTTTGTCTATCCAGGTTTTTTTAACTGTGTGACCTGCATTTACCCATGTCTCGTCCAAATAATAGATTTTTCTGCTTTGTCGCCTATATTCAATCATTTCGCGTAGGTATTTTCGACGCCAGGCGACTATTTCAGGTCTCTCTATCAATACTGACTTCCGATTACGCGTTTCGTAACGAAAATTAATTTCGTGCAGGGATCTCCTCATTACCTCGACGCTCATTTGGGGTATAATTTCATTTTCCTTGATCGCTGCATGTACAGCCTTGAGGGTTGGTATCTCATTCCAAAAGAAGAATGAATGTACGGTTCGCCTTAACGCCATTTTGCTATCGTCATCCAATTTAACGGCCTTTCGACCCTTCAAATTAAACTTTGGATCAGTAGTAGCTCCAGTTTTCTTCTTTTCATGCACCACCCTGCTAATGGTCCACTCTGGAACGCCTGTCATACTTTCACAACGCGCGAGTGCATCTCCCTGCGACATAGTTCTGTTCAGATAATTGAACACGTTGAGCACGATTTCTTTCGCGTCCCTCTTCAGTGCTTTACGAAGCCGTCTACTTGTTCCCTGGCTTTCAGTACTTCCACTCGTGCCATTTGTTCTCTCCATGGTTAAGTATAACCAAAACAGTAACCACAGAAACCACAACAATAACAATCACACAACAATTCTTATAAAAACACACAATACGCGATCGCTCAACGAAACACGTTCCAATGCGTTGCCGACGCCTATGAGTCTGCCGGTCGAGGCGCGTCTTTGATTTCATTGGTTCTACCGGCGGAGAACAATCAGCCATTATTTCCATCTCTGTCTGTGCTGTTGACCACCGCAAAGCCACAGAAACGACATATGTCATTCGCTATACGGCTGTACTGGAAGGAAGCCGGGATCGAGCTCTGATCACGTGTTGATCACGCGTATGAGTCATTACAGTTTTAAATAGTTGTAGTATAGTATTCTGTTGCTTAAATGTACCATCCATTTCGCATAAACTTTAATTGGTGGAATATTTCGTAAAATAGATTGATTCAGCTTTTATGACGCACTGATATACAACAAACACGGACTGACAAACCGACATAATTGAGAATCACGGAGTTGTGTGATGCAGATATCTTTAAGCAACAGAAAACTTGTGGACCAAAGTTCGAATATTACCGCGAGTTTAATACTTCGGAGATTTTGAAAATTGATTCAGAGGCTGCGGAAATAAAATCGCTGGAATGTTTCAGAGATTCTTGTGCATTTTCAGACATTGTTTGGAGGGGATGAACATTGTAGGTAAATGGTTGTAAATTTATTGTTGCATATGTGGTGTCAGTGAAAGACCTTTATAATTAAGAAGCTTCCGATTTCGGTGACACTATGCACCTGTTATTAATAAGTCACACACATTTTCCCTGCATCTGCCATAGAAACAGAAATATGATAGATTTGCGTTATATAGTTTGATATCAAGCTTCGAAAATTCATCGTATCTATTCACGATTCGATTTCGCCTTTTGAAACGATTTGGCTCATCCTTTTTCATCCCTTGTCATATCCGTCTTGCGAGTCCCAAATTACCGAATTGTACTGATTTTAACACGCTTGTAACAACGGGAAAAGTTTGCGATACATAGTTCTACAATATACGTATACACCTTGGGAAAAAACATTATTATACATTATGTTGAGGAAGAGAGATGGAAATATACAAAAGTGTGTAGGTGCGTGAAAGACACTCGATTGTAGGATCCTATGTGGCAGCGTCGTTGTGTGACGGACAACGGGGTAAAGTAGAAGAGTGATAAAAGAGAGAGATGGCAGAACGGGCGCTGACGCCTACCGCTTAGACGGATGCGCTCAACAAATGCGATTTGTTTCTCCCATTCGCAGAGTTGCCGATACCAATATGTCATATTTCTAAGAAATCTAAGTCTACCCAATTTTCGGGAAAAATAGCTGCGGATTCCACATAAGAGTATTCCAAAAATGAAAAAAGTTCAAACTATTAAAATTGTATTAATGTTTCATGGTTCAAATCATATTTTTCATGTTTGTATATTGTTGTATAAATGATTTTGTAATCCCTATTCTTGTTGCCAGTAGAGATACAACAGTATTGAGAGAAGTCATGGACTGCTAGATAGCGCTACAACTACCATATGACTATCAAATAGTAGTGATAAACAGGGTTTGTTTATAGCACAGTTGCCTGGTGTGGCGAATTTGCGCCATAGGGGCGATTTGACAACTTTGAAGGACAACTATAACGGTTACTATGGTGCCCGGTATTCGGGAATCTGGCAATACCTGATGATTCCTAACGTTTATTACGCCAGATTGTTTGCTGACTTGCGCAGTACAACATGACAATCAACGTGACTGAGCACCTGGTAATCCTGGTTTAAGGTGTTATATTTTAAGAGCTTGGGGCAGTTAGGTATCTAGGTCACATTTTTTAATGTATTTCGAGAAATCCGTAATGTTGAGTAAATACTAGATCACGTTTCTTGCTTAGTTTGCTGAAAATTCTACAATAGACGTACAGTTTGAGAAACAGAGATTTGGTGACGACAAAATCGTAAAAATATAACGCATTTTCGTAAAATAATTTCTTTGTTGAAAAGACTGTGGCTTGATGACCCATTGAACGAGTATAGTGTCCCGCTCCGCTTTCAATATTCGAAACACTATACTCCAGCAGCATTCAGCTTCAATGTTATCTTTATGAAGTTCTAACGTCTAGGCCATGCTGATTAAAAGCTTGAATGAATCAACACTTAACTGTAAATTCCCCACAATTCGGGAAGCTCTACTCAAATTGGCAACACAGCGTATCTGCCTATTATTCTCATTCGTGATACAGGTCTGCGGTTAACGGTAGGAAATATGTACGAATAGCGATGAAAGTAGACGAGCCGATGCTCTGTTGCCAAGAAATGATTTCCCATGTATAACAATGGTTTTTCCTAAGGTGTATACGTCTTCTTCATTGCACAACCTCACGTTTGGTGTTCCGCAGGGATCAGTTTTAATTCGGATTATTTTCTAGGTGGTTTTGATGGTACCAGCAACGTGCTAGCAGGCAAGCTTTTCAACATTCCAGTAAAAGGCACTCATGCACATGCCTATATAACCTCATTCAGCGATTTCTCAGAGTTACGCAATACCTATTTGGAACCGAAAGGCGGAGGCAAACCACGAGACTTGCTACAGTTGACCCTCAGCTGGAGGAACAAGATTCTTCCTTTATTTAACTTTACCTCAATAGAAGCTAGCGAGGGTGAATTGGCAGCCTTGGTTTCATTTGCAATAGCTTTTCCAGATGGTTTTATGGCTTTGGTCGATACCTACGAAGTTCAGAGGTATTCCAGACAAAAGAGTAGAAACATCACTATTCATAGCGAGTACAGGTAACAGGGAATTCTTCCAAATGCATGCTGGACATTGGGAGCCACATCATACATTCAGTACAATCATTGATTAACGTATCCTCCATGAAGGTAACCTGCCCTATGCTGTAATTGGACGACTACTACGCCAAGGAAAAATATTTTAGGAGTGAAAAACTAGGTGGTGGGGGGTTTTAGGGGATAGGGAAGAATGTCTATGGCCTAATTGTATGGGTCCATTAGACTGACTTGATCCGTTTAATTCCTCTGTCGTGCATGTCCGCAACGATTTTTTTTCTCAGCGGGCTCATCTTGTGCTGAAGTTAATCCTTTATGAACGGATGACGGCGTTGCGTAGAAAGTGCAGAGTCGACCTACTTGACGCAATTTTATCATAAGGATCTATCCAAATGTATAATAAGATATGGGGCATTCCATTTGATACATTTAACCGATTTTAATAATAATATAATAATAATAAATGGGCTTTATTTCGTACCTAAGTAAAAGTACAAAAAAGGCGAAGTGTGAAAAATATATTGTAAAGCATTCCACCAATAAAAATGTATCCATAATTCACAATAATTACTAAGTAATTAACAACACAAAAAAAAAACAGAACAATTACAACAATAGTCCATATTTCCAGTATTTTGTATTCATCATCAGACTTCGACTTGGAATGTAACAGGCAGATCATTATACAGGGTGACTTCGAAGTTGAGTCATTTATTTTAACAGTGAGTAGATCTGATCAAAAGAAATGTTTTTTTCCTTTAACATTTTTCTGGTAAAATTAAAGTAACAAAGTTATAGCCCTTTGGAAGTTTGAGTACCGCCCTGTCTCAATAATAATATTATGTGCTCGTGTTTGGCGACAACGGATATAATCCGTACAACGGGCTCGTGAATCAGGTGACTTAAGACCTCACAGGGGAGGGCATGCCGGTGCTCCAAGACCTCACGATCAAATACAGGTCCGCACTGAAATACTTGTCGGGAGGATACTTTATAAATCAAGGTAACATTTTTTTTCTTCTACAATCATTATCTGAAAATTAATGACTCAACTTCAAAGTCACCCTGTATAATTTAATAGCGTTGTAGTTGAACGATTTTTTGTAGACAGCCTTAGAATGTGAGGGTATCACTAACATATTTCTATTCCTTGTATTCAGTTGATTTATGTCACTACATCGTGTTAACTTAATATGCAAATATAGTGGTTGTTTGGTAGCTAAGACCTTATGTGTGAGTGTCAATAAGTGAAGTTTTTGCATGCCTTTAATCTGCAGAATATCAAGTTCCTTAAATTTATCAGAAATATGATCAAACTTTCGTATTCCGCAAAAAAATCTGACGCACGAATTCTGAATACGCTGTAATTTGCTTTGTTCACTATATGATAGAGCGGGGCCATATATACTGTCACAATAACTGATCTTTGATATAATCAATGTTTCACACAGTTTCAGCTCTACTGAAGTAGATATTATTTGCCTATGTGGATAATCTGCTTCAAAATGCAGTATGATGCACTACATAACAAATTTAAGTGCTTTTTGTATTTTAGTTCTGTGTCAATCCAGAGTCCCAGGTTTTTACACTCATTCATTATAGGAAGCCGGCAATCATAGATTTTAAGGTTAATTTCCGTTTCGATCAATGTTCTTTTGTTTTTTGAACCGAAAACCATAACTGAAGATTTAGATGGATTAATTTTTAGGTTATGCGGGCACGAGACGTCTACTAGCCTTGTTAAGTCTTCTTTGAGCAATGCTTCTGCTATTTTAAAATCTTTGTGCTGAAAACTAAAATAAATTTGAGTATCATCGGCATAGTGATGGATTGTGCAATTATGGACATATTGATGAAAATCCGATATATATAGAGAGAAAAGTAAAGGTCCCAGTATGGAACCTTGGGGAACACCAAACTTTATAGCAGTTGACTGTGACATTTTCGAAGCTGTTAGGACCTTTTGATTTCTATTTGTCAAATAGCAGCTTATCAAATTGACTGCAGCGTCAGTAAAACCATAGTAAGACAGCTTAAGTAGCAGAATTTCAGGGTCTATCATATCGAAAGCTTTTGTGTAATCCAGCAGAACTAAACTAGTGATATTTCCTTGATCAAGGCCTCTTATAACATCATCAGTGACATTGGCTAGAGAGTTGTTGTACTATGGTTTTCCCTGAATCCAGACTGCATTGATGGAACTATTTCATTACTGAAAATATACTGAGATATTTGTATCTTCATTTCCCTTTCCAAAAGCTTCGAAAATGCGGGACGTAAGCTGACTGGTCTAAGTTGCGTTACAGACGTGGGAATCGCTACTTTAGGAATAGGTATGACGATAGCCTGCTTCCAAGCATCAGGGAAACAGGATGTTGATATTACGTGATTGATGATAAATGTAATATGGTCTAGGAGCAAAGTGAAAATGTATTTTATCATAATGAGTGAGATTCTATCAGCCCCTACAGCATTAGTTTTAATAAATGAGAAACTCTTTGCAACAAATTCTTTGGCAACCTTTTGGAAACAGAATGACTTATTATTTTGATATTTGGTCAGTAGTTCTAATTGCCTTTGAGTCCGCAGATGGTAATAATATAGATAAGGTATTTTCTATACTGTCAAATGTTTGCGGAATATTGTAAGAAGGATGCTCCGAAGGTATACGTTTTGCCATCGAATCTGAAACTGATCCATTGCTCTTCCAAAAGGGGATCAATATTTGTACGGAGCAACTTGAATGTTATGTGTTCTTTTAGAAAGAAGCCGACACCCCCCCTCTACCGATTCTATCCGCATGTATGAAATTGTAATTGGGAATACGGATAGCCGAAGATCCGATATCATCATTCAACCAAGTTTCGGTGACTGCAAATATATCGAAATTTTCAGAAATCACCAAATCCTGGAAAAGACAAAATCCTGACAAAAGCGATCTAACATTAAGATGACCAACTTTCATGTCTTACATGTAAATAAATGTCTATTTGATAGGAAAGAAATAGTATACAAAATAAAAATAGTCAGTACACACTACTCAGTTATTCTACGTATATATTATATATATGTATTCTACAAATATACATATATACATACATACATACACACATATATACACACATATATAGGGTGATTTGTTCCAAAACTAGAAATAGGAATGACAAGATGAAAGGTTTGGCGAATAGTTATCTTTAATTTTGACAATTCTTTTTAAACGGAATGTTCTACATTCTGAGGTTCTTTTCTAGGGTGATAAACCATATTTCACGAGTATCCATTACGTTTTGACGTCCACTCAAGTGAGCAGCTTATCAGCAAGTGATATATTTGTATTGCATGTAACGTTGGCAATAATTAATCGGGTGTAAGTCTGGTAAATTTCAGGACCGTATTCAGAGCTGTTGTTCATATATCTAGATACTTTTAGTGACTGGGAATTTTGACAATGAAATATACTAAGTACACATAGAAAATTCTTCATTGGAAAATTATTGTAGTAGCTGGTATTTTACATATAAAAATAATATAGCCTCGTGTTTCTGGTTAATTGTCCTACAACAGTGTATCGTAATTTAAATATGGCTGTTTCAATACCTTTTAAAATCATATGTCGTTTTATGTTTGAAAAAGTAGCGATGATTAAAAAAGTCAACAATAGTTTCTACTCATTTACACCGTTTTTTTAATTTTATGTACCATTTATTCAGTGTTTATAAATCCAAAATGTACTTGCTTCAAAAAATTTAAATGGAACACCCTCTATATTTTTAGTTTTGGGATAATCTTTTTAAAAGTAGAATTCGCGATAATAAATATATGTATATATGATGCACAAAATTGACTTAAAGCTGATTTTGACGAAAAGTTTGCTACCCTATCTGAAAATGTGATAGACTTACAAACTGCTAAAGTTGAGTCTGTTTTCGTACATAATATCCCGTACCTCCAGAAGTAGCTATGTAAACCGATAGCAAACTCTTTCCTTTTAAGGAGCATTTCAAAATATACTAAATCATACAGGGTATTCCATTTAAGTAATTGCATCCTTTTGTTGTCAGACGTAGTCATGAATCACCCTGTAGAGGGCGGCATAGTTTTAAAGTGAGATGCGTATAGTTGTTTTGTTACGAATTTTCGTAGATATATTTCAAAATAACGGGGCTATCGACCGATTACACACTAAAACAGCACCCTGTATGTAAAGGAATTATCGTTAGTGATTTTGTGCTATCAACTTCCATTGCCGCTATATCCCTGATAGAGACTACACTACTCTGCTTTCGTGGATTGTCCCACCTATATCGTACTGTTGATTCCCGATAAGGATGAAGACTGTTTATCTTATTTTATCCTTATCTGAATTGAAATGTTATAGTCATGATCATCAGCAGCCATCTAGCTTTTCTAAGTAAAAGAGTTGATAGCAAATACAAAATGAATCCGCAACGTCTACAAAAAAAACAAAATACGGCTCTGTCTACCTAGCGTTAGCGGATCCGTCAGGATTGTGTGTCACTATACTATAACTATCTAAAACTGTAATGACTCATCGATGTTCACGTGAACATCACTTAACTACCAGTAGTAGGCTGTTCATAGGCGGGGTATGAATGTTTAACATGGGTGAACTAGATTTGTCACATGCTTAATAAAGAGTGGTTTGAAACATATTGTAAGTCAAAAATTTGGGAATTACCTTTATTCATCGTCGCTTCCACTTACATCTGACAGTAATAAACTGTCGCTATCGCTTTCCTCGTTGAAATTGACTATAACTGGCTCTATGATGGTGTCGATGTGGTGGTCAAGCTGCCACATTTTTGTTTCTTCCTTCACAACATGACGGATAGCATTTTGCCAAGCTTCGGGCGTTACTAGCTGTATGGAAGTCTCAAGTAAAACCTTAACGTCTGGTAATTTGAAGGTTGTGTTATGGCGCGCAATATAACCCTTCACTTGAGCCCAAATGAGCTCTTTTGGGTTCAGTTCACAGTGGTAGGGCGGTAACCGCAGCACAGTGACATCACATTGACGGGCCATTTCATCAGTCACGTAACTAATGTTCGCAGGTTTGTGCTGTTTAATTTTTTCATACAATTCCGCTTTCACACATGAATCGCCAAACGGGATTCATTTTTCGCGCAACCATTGCTGCATGTCACTTTTTCGAGATCCCATAGTCGGTACACGTTCGGCTCGACGACTATGGTAGGAAGCATTATCCATGACGATCACAGAGTTGGGCTCAACTCGCTGAAGCACCCCTTGAAACCAGCTCTCGAAGCAGCTGGCATTCATTTCGTCATGGTAATCACCTCCTTTCTTAGAGACGAAAATCATGTCACACTCTTCTAAAAAGCCACTATCGCTACCAATATGAGTTACGATCAGTCTTTGACCTTTCCCTGACGGTCCACGAAGACCTGTTGACAAACCTTCAATGCTTGCTTGTCGGTTACTCACTACGTTTTTGTCTATCCAGGTTTTTTTAACTGTGTGACCTGCATTTACCCATGTCTCGTCCAAATAACAGATTTTTCTGCTTTGTCGTCTATATTCAATCATTTCGCGTAGGTATTTTCGACGCCAGGCGACTATTTCAGGTCTCTCTATCAATACTGACTTCCGATTACGCGTTTCGTAACGAAAATTAATTTCGTGCAGGGATTTCCTCATTACCTCGACGCTCATTTGGGGTATAATTTCATTTTCCTTGATCGCTGCATGTACAGCCTTGAGGGTTGGTATCTCATTCCTAAAGAAGAATGAATGTACGGTTCGCCTTAACGCCATTTTGCTATCGTCATCCAATTTAACGGCCTTTCGTCCCTTCAAATTAAACTTTGGATCAGTAGTAGCTCCAGTTTTCTTCTTTTCATGCACCACCCTGCGAATGGTCCACTCTGGAACGCCTGTCATACTTTCACAACGCGCGAGTGCATCTCCCTGCGACATAGTTCTGTTCAGATAATTGAACACGTTGAGCACGATTTCTTTCGCGTCCCTCTTCAGTGCTTTACGAAGCCGTCTACTTGTTCCCTGGCTTTCAGTACTTCCACTCGTGCCATTTGTACTCTCCATGGTTAAGTATAACCAAAACAGTAACCACAGAAACCACAACAATAACAATCACACAACAATTCTTATAAAAACACACAATATGCGATCGCTCAACGAAACACGTTCCAATGCGTTGCCGACGCCTATGAGTCTGCCGGTCGAGGCGCGTCTTTGATTTCATTGGTTCTACCGGCAGAGAACAATCAACCATTATTTCCATCTCTGTCTGTGCTGTTGACCACCGCAAAGCCACAGAAACGACATATGTCGTACGCTATACGGCTGTACTGGAAGGAAGCCGGGATCGAGCTCTGATCACGTGTTGATCACGCGTTTGAGTCATTACAGTTTTAAATAGTTGTAGTATAGTCGATATCGAGAATTTTGAAATATTACCAGATAATCAGCTATTATTCTGTCGTGAAATACTGATGACGAGTTTCAATATACGATACCAAATGACCACCGTACATTGAAAAAATGTTCCAAGATGGCTCATAAACGCCATTTTGACATTTTCAACTACCACTTTTAAGTTAAAATACACATAAACACACAAACATTTCATCAATCTGAATTTCAGTTTGGTAACTTAACCCGTTCAAAAAATAAATAGAGGGTGGAGCTTTTTGAAAAGCTCGGTATATTGGTAAGCATAAATGATCAGCTGCGCCACGGTACATAAGGTCGTTTTCACACATGCATGGCTTCCAGATAAATTGGGTATCGTCTGGTGGAATATGTTAATCAATGGCATAATACCTGTACTGTGCTAGTAGGTAGAGAACTAGCTAAGCTGTTGTATCGACATAGACAGATAACATTTCGTTGCTTCATCACTAAGATAGTTAACGAATTCTCTAGCTAATAAGCAGCTAAACGTATCTTCCAACACATTTTTGATGACATTGTGGATGTGTTCTTTTCGCATAGTTGTTATGAATCTACTAAGCAGAATGTAGATGAGCTCTTTCCCTAAAATTTTTAAGCAGCTTCGTTTACCAGTCTATCGCTGTGATTTTACCCTTGGACTGTGAGTGACCATTCAGCCAGGCAACAGTTATACTCGGTGACAAAGTATATACGTATAAATATAATGTTATTCAAGTGAACATATTTTAAGGCCGATCACTATAATCCAGTGAAGTAATTTAAAAGCATGTGTTAATAAACCCACAATATCCCCTTCTCACACTATTGTCCCACCCTGTATGTGTATGAAAGGTTGTCATGTTATTCTGAGACACCACGTATAATTCAATGCACTTGTTTTCAGGAGTGGTCTGTTGAACTTCTGTTCAGTAGCTCTAGCTCTGAATGACTTGGGGTACAGAGCTATAGGAATACGACTAGATAGCGGAGATCTAGCCTACCTCTCAACAGTAGCAAGAAGACATTTCACAGATATCAGCATAAAATACAATTTGCCTTGGTTTGAAACAATGTTGATCATGGCTTCAAATGATATAAATGAAGAAACTATACTCAGCTTGAATGAACAGGGCCATAAAATAAACTGTTTCGGTATTGGGACTCATTTAGTTACTTGTCAAAAGCAACCTGCGCTTGGATGTGTCTACAAGATGGTCGAGCTGAATGGCTATCCAAGGTAAGATTAAGGCTTAAGGCTTCCCTGTAAAGAGTGAAACAATTATGCTTCCTTGAAGAACGTTAAAGCAAGGATTTAAATTTTCATTTCACAGTAGGCTGTAACAGTTGTCATAACAAGCTGTCATTGATGACAAAAAAAAAATTCTTTGCTGGTATCTATTTAACATTTTGGTGATAAAACTGGGACGATTTGCTTTATTTTTGCTAAATACTTCGAAGTTGAGTCATTTATTTTAACAGTGAGTAGATCTGCTCAAAAGAAATGTTTTTTTCCTTTACCATTTTTCTGGTAAAGTTAAAGTAACAAAGTTATAGCCCTTTGGAAGTTTGAGTACCGCCCTGTCTCAATAATAATATTATGTGCTCGTGTTTGGCAACAACGGATATAATCCGCCTTATCGAAAGAATTTGGAACGATGTTTTTACAATTATTTTATTCAGTTGTATACAGTCAGTGTCAGTCGGTAACGCGTGAGTGAATAGTGGTGTCTGTTGCGTGGCTCAAACGAAATAAAAAATGGCACATGTTTATGCGGATCGGTTTCCCAATCGAGTGCAACCAACCCCTCGTGCCTTTGTTAATGTAGTACAACGGGCTCGTGAATCAGGTGACTTAAGACCTCACAGGGGACGGCATGCCGGTGCTCCAAGACCTCACGATCAAATACAGGTCCGCACTGAAATACTTGTCGGGAGGATACTTTATAAAACAAGGTACAATTTTTTTTTATTTTTACACACATATTTTGGTTTATCTTCCTTCTACAATCATTATCTGAAAATTAATGACTCAACTTCAAAGTCACCCTGTATATTAATAAACATTTCAAAATAATAACGTATGCTTCCTCGAATCACAGCGCAATCACAGAGAGGTAAAAAACTATGTATAGGCAACCAGTTGCACCGAACTGCTGTGCTACTGCTGTCTGTGTTTCAATGATCCCTTTAAATTTATCTAGTACCTAGATCAAATGCATCTCCTCCTCAAAAACTTCATTTTTTCATAGTCACTTTATAATTTACAATTAAATTTGGGTATGAAATGTTTTTTTTGTGAAGTAATGTAGAAGTTGAATCTGACATACGTAACCTACAATCTGCAACCAGCAGAGCAGTTAGGTGCAACTAGTTGCCTATATTCAGTGTTTTAACTTCTCTGTGATTGCGCTGTATATCGAGGAAACAGACAGCATTTTTATTGATACTTTTTTACACTGAAGGAGTCACGCATGCCTAAATACCAGGGCACCGCGGGTGCTATGAGGATCCCAAAGAAACTGTTAATCCGATTTTTGAACTACTTAAGGTTACTAGAACTGAGAAAAGCCTCGTCTTGTAGATTGTCCCACAATCTCGACACCCTAGAGACAAAGGAGCAGTCGTATCGGCCAGTTCTGGTTGTACGAAGTTCGACACGGTTAGGATGGGAGGCCGAAGTCAGGCGGGTCTGTCTGGTTGGCACATCGCGCGGCGGCATAATGGAGGAGAGCTCTGAGGAGCAAAGCCCATTGGTCTAGCGGTAGAACAGAGCTAGATCGCCGATGGTCCGCCGGTGCCGAAGGGTCCCGGACTGTCTGTTAGAGAAGAGTAATCGATCAGTCTGGCAGCCCTTCTCTGGAAAGCATCGAGCATGGATAATGTAGTCGGGGCGGCAGCACCGAAAACGTGTGAACAGTATTCGAGGCTAGGTCTTAACTGGGCCTAGTATTGAGTGAAGAAGAAAAAAGTACTTCTTAGCCCTGAAAAAATAGCCTAGATTTCTCCCGGCAGCTGCCGCTAGTGACAAGATCAAGTCCTCGGTGATGTGGAATCCCTCCAGCCGAAATTATATCTATCGTTTTTGAAGAAGTATCAAGCCTCAAGGCAGGTCTGTAAATCTCACTATTGATCTTTGCTGGTAGCGGCTTTCTCTCTGAAGGAACACTTGGCGGTCACCACTACCTCGAATTGCAACAACTTTGTGCAGTTTAGTGCCCCAAAGATACAGTACCACAGTTCTTGATTAACAAGTTAACTGGCGTCTACCAATTTCATACATTTTGTTTCAGGATGAAGCTAAGTCAAGATGTGGGAAAGGTAACCATGCCAGGTAAAAAAGATCCATACAGACTTTACAGTGAGACTGGGGATGCCCTAGTTGATTTAATCCAAAGATCGTCAGAGGAACCTCCGCAAGTGAATGAGAAGGTGCTCTGCAGACACCCCTTCGAAGAGTCCAAGCGAGCTTATGTTACTCCGTCCAAAGTTGAGAAACTGCTAACACTATATTGGGAAAATGGGAACATTTGTCAGGACTTACCGAATCTTCAACAAATCAAAGAGAGAGTGAAACATTCTTTGAAGACTTTGAGAACAGATATCAAACGAAACTTGAATCCCACTCCTTTCAAGGTGACTATGGAATGATATCAATTAGATTTATTTAGCACTTACAGGGTGCATTTGATAAGTACTGAGATTGGCCGCCATGTGGCGTCCAGTTTCTTGCTTTGTGATTTCCACCGGATGTAATTGTGTTGGAGGATCTAAACTAACAGTAGAACCTGTCCAAACATATTATTAGAAATGGTGGAGGATTTTCTGCATTCCGAATCTAACAATCCGCCGAAGGTGGTTATAGTCAGAATACGAGTACTACAGTTGTTTGAATAATTCGCTTCATTTTATGGAGGAAAAACTGGGATTGGCAACTTTTATAGCTCAGTAGTTTTAGACATTTTCAGCGTTTGCAATACGTTCAAAAATGTTTATTTTAAAAAGGACAAGGTATGATCCAAACTGATCCAAATTTGGCTTAAGCTACCGTCACAGAGCCGAAATGGAATATTTTGGACGACCCACTAGCACACACTTCTTGTAATATTTTCATACTTACAATGCCCCTGAGTTGTAAAAACTGGGTTCGGTTAACGTGTTGTATGTCAGGTTAATCAGGAGACTTCTGTCTTTCATTCTGCGAAAAAAACTCACTGCTATCTCGATTCGTAACGAAGGTCTGTATTGAAGAAGACAAAGTACACCGAAAAATGGCTTGTTATCGGTACCTTTGCGGCACTGAAAGTTTGCTTTTTCGAAAACTGACGGGAATTCTAATTGTACGGTTTACTACACTAAAAATGATTACTTTTAAATCACTATATTATTTTTATCTTGCGTATTCAATAGCAATAGGTTCGAACGAAGCCCAAAAAATGGTAATTTTACCGTGGAAAAAGGTTACGGTGTTTTGTTAATATTTCCGAAATCTTACCGATTGAATAATATTTGATTTAGATCTCCCGGGTCCTATTTGCCAGTGTTTATGCAATATCTGGATAGGTCGTAACGTTTCGTCAATAATAGGCGATTGAAAAGTAAAATTTTACGGTATTTTGCTTGTTTTCTTAAAAAAACTATAAAAAACATACGTTTAACCAACTGTAAAAACCGTTTCAAAAACATAAAAACGCGCTATACTTTGCAAACCTTTGATCGAAATTATGAAAAAATCTAAAGCAAAGAAGGTCATCTTTCGAAAAGTAGTATTTTGTCGGAAAATTTTTCAAAATCGAAACTTTTGAACGAAAGCGAATAAAGATATGAAAATACCTGTAAAATGGACTCCGAAATGTGGGCTTTGTTATGCATAAATCGCCAGGTTTATAGCTCCGTTATCATAACTTTCTGATATGTTGTCATTAATTTGAATCTGGCAAAGATTATAATAAGGATAGTTTTGACTCATATTTCGCTGCATATCAGAATTTTCTGATATTTTCTTAAATTAATATCAGTCCATCCCCGTCTTATAAGTATTTTCTTTGAATTCAAAACACGCAATTATAAAAGATATAGCCATTCGTGAATTGTGTGAACTGCTTGACCACCCATATTCAAATTTTCGAGGAAATCTTGTTGGCGACAAATATGGCGATTTTTCTGATTCCATCTGGCAACGTGGTCGTGTCGTTGGACCTGGCAACCTTGGGACATATCATACTATTAGCATACGAGGTCTGTAAATTAAGTGATGAGACTGATTTATTTTTTATTTTTATACACAGCACAAAATATACACTTCATAACGTTAAGTCACGTGCTATCTATAGGGCAATACCGTTGACTTATGTCAGTGTCAATCGCCATTTTTTCTGGATGCCACATAGTTGCTAAAGTGCACAAATGCGGCATGCGACGTTGCCGGCTCTTTGCATAAATCTGAGACTGTTGTATAATGTTATTAAATAGTCACTTATTTGTTAAAACAGCAGCGTCAATAACACAGACCATTATAAAATCATCCATATATCCTAGTTATTTGAAATTTTGAGAAGACTTATACTTGAGAATATATTTTTATCTAAATTTTATATTGTCTAAACATATCAATAATATGTATCGTCCAAATATTTTCATTCCTGGTGATGTACATCTGCAGCACCTGCATGGTAAAATTGTTAGAATTAGTGATGAAAACTAATTCTTTTCAAAAAAAAATAATAGTTATTGTTAACAACTGCAAATTTAGTAGAATGACTAGATTTTTCATAAGAATTAGGTATAATACAGGAGTATCTAATCACAATTCCATAACATTGATAACCAGAATGTAAAAGTTTTATGGAAAATATGATTATATAAATAATTTACGAATTCTACATCATCGTTAAAATATATCATACTTCGTATAAAATTTTATATGATTCAAAAATGTTGACTATATGGATGTCTTATCAGGATATCTGACTTTCGACTCACTTTTATTGACTTCTTTTCAAGCTATAAATTTTTAAAAAAGTACATATTCAAACCTGAAATTGACGGGAATTGTCGTGAGTTTCTCATATCAACTACAGAATACCAATATTAACAGAGAAGCTCTACAAATCACTCAATTTGACATAAACTGACATTAGCCATGATTGTGAAACACATTAGCCATGGTCCTGAAGCACTCTATTGTCGAGATGAATGCCCTGGAGAGAAAACAGTAGCAAGTAATCTATATTCTATTTATCTCTGATCACAACGGGCTGGCAGTGGAATGAAGGGCCTTCAACTCTGCTTCTTGAATGTTTCATAGCTTCACATACGTGACTGTTGATTCAGATTGAAATCCTCAATAGTAATGTTCTAACAAATACATCCTTCCAATGTAGAATCTCTTTATAACTAAACCTTTTTTTCAAGGGTCCAGGATTCTCCCTTTATTGATTACAATCACCTAGAAGAAAATGAGTTATACTCATACTTACACAATTTCACCAACGTGTTAGGTGTTATACTCGATTCCAAAGTTCAACTCAACAAAAAATGTAGTTTAAATAAGAACGGCTTTAATAAAATGTGTAATTACGAAAAACCTACCTTCGAGGCACCCAGCCATCGAGACACAAATAAAAGAGAGGTTAACTAAAAATGATAGTAATAAACTGTCTTACTCGTCAAAGCCGCGATTTTTTCTGGACGCCAAAGTGTTGTCAGGTTGTGGTCTGGGAACACCGCACTGTTTCCCATTCTCCCATGACACACAGCGCCGGAGACGGTTCTACCGTTACTTATAGCAGTGCTAGACCTCAGATAGCCTTCAGTTGTTCGGTTACAGTCGTATGAATGTTTTTGAGTTCCCTTGAGGTCATTTTTCAACTTCGGGAAGAGAAAAAAGTCACAAGGACTCAAGTCAGACGAACAAGGAGGCTTAGGAGCCACAGGAATGTTTTTACTGACCAAAAACTCATTTATTAACATTGCTGTATGACAAGGAGGTTGATTAAGTGTCTCCCTGTCGCCCCTCCAAGCTCGGCATCTCCAGTGTTGCCAGATCTAACTAAGTTGCCAGTCTTATTACTTAATTTACAGACCTTGTAGTTCTAACCAATGGACACTGCATAACAAACGATTGCGATTCCTCACGATGGCGATGGCCAGTCTCATCTACTTATCAAACGCACCATGTATTCTCAAAGGTATTCTTCGAAGTTGCGTCAAAATTGGTTCGAATTTTTTTTCCAGGTCGCTGTTAGTGATGGCTTATACACATTCCTACATGACCTGTGGCTCAAAAACGCACCAATAGGAGAATTGTCGTAACCACTTGAACAGGAGAATCAAATACTGAGGTAATGTAAAAGAAGATAGCAGCAAAACACATAGCGGCGTCTCTATGAATACGGCCATATCAGAATATAGTAGATCCTTTTAACATTTGTCTGGCTTTGAAAAAAAAAGCTCAAGAACCTTATCAGTTATTAATCTGACGCTTGATGCGAAGTGTTTTTCCACATATGTGATTGACCTCCATTTTGTTATTGATTCAAGTAAATATGAAAAAAGGCTAAAAAATATATTTTGAGTGCCTATAACGCGTACAACGAAAATAATTTTAAGAGAATCTTGCATACTCCTGACTGCTTCAGTTTTGAAAAATAGCCACAACCCGTAATACAAATTGTCACTCAAGGATACAAAATATATTCAAAACAGATACATAAAAACTCAAGAATATAATTTTAATTGATATCAGGGGTATGCAAGGTTCTTGCGAATTATTTTATTTAATAATAATTCTCAGCAATTTATGCACGTGTAATGTACCTAAATATTCTGAGATGAAGGTCGACAGAAGCAATTATATGGAATCAAAATACCTTTATTTTTTTGTAATCAATGTGCACAATATGCGATAAGTTTTAGTACAAATTAGTTACGCTTTAATGTATTATTTGGTTATTAAATATATATTTTTAGGTATCAAGAAGTGTTTGCAAAATATTGATATAATGCTCAACCAAATAAAATTTTTGTATAAAATATAACACCTCAAGCCTCAACCCTTGTTTTCTATGACGACAGTATGCAGCGTTTTATTTGGCCTTATCGTCGTCTTGAATTGTTCAGGAATTGGTATTTCAGTCTAAAACAAACAAGAAAAATTTCAAAAATAACAGTTTTTTGCATCCCCAATATATCCACAATGAAATTAAATACATCCATTTTTTCATCTTAAACCTTTATGGAATGTTGTAAGAGTTATGTATTAAAAATGATACCACTTTTTTCTGGAACGAATAAATTGTTCATATGGTGGTGCCAGATGGATCGAACAGAATTTTCCCAGAACAAGCACAAAAATCCCTCAGAATTGCTACCTACTTTAAAAAAATACCCCGAATCCCAGTTAATTAATTGATAAGGGTAGGTTTGGTTCAAAGAGCCGGGGTATGCTTTCTATCAGCGACATGTGTGATTTTCCCCAGAACATTATATCCCCACAAAATCCCCCCCAAGTAAAAATCCCCAAATTTGAGTGAAAATCCGCCAATATGGCAACCCTGTCAAAGCAGCACTGGCACTGCGGGTGTCAAGTTTCATTGTAATTCTTACAGCACAAACAGCATCGTCCTAGTTTCTACTGGTATAAAGGCTTCAGGGTTGCCAGATGGATCAGACAGAATTTCCCCAGAACAACATGTGATTTATAACTTTATAAAACATAAGTTTTTTGTAATATAAATACCCTGTAATACAAGGTCAGCAAATCGGTGTAACACCACATAGAAGATGATCATCTAGTACTTTCTCTCTAAACACGTGTGAGACAAGTATAGCTAAATCTACCGGCCCGTTCACGTCTTGCTATTGTTGTTTTCCGTTTTATGACTATGGATACAGCTCTACCAACTTACAATTTAGGTGTTTTGTGCGAGGGTGACCACGAGGAAAGAAAAAGCTACAGAAAGATGAAATTGTTATTGAAAGTGCACAGTTTTTTGTGGTTGAAAATGGAATAAAGCACCCAAAAAATACCCTGGTTTATTTTCCCCCAAAGAAATCCCCCAAAACATTTCATCCCACAAAAATTCACTGAGGGAAGAAAACATCCCCCAAACTTGGAGGAAAATCCCCCAATATGGCAACCCTGGTAGGCTTCATGGAGCCAAGAATGAGTGGCGCAACGAAGCGTGGCCGGAGGGAATCATATATTGATCACCTTGTATTTGTCCAATATTCAGGAAGCACCATGGGCGCCCGCAAGACCAAGGGGAGGGCCGATCATCGACAAGAAATAACTTTTTGTGAAAGTGTACCGGCCCCAAAAACTTTTGAAAGAGCGAGGGTAGCAAATGTTCTCCTAAAAATCTCCAAAGTTGTACAGAAAATCATGCTAAATATGCAAATTTCAACCCGTTTTTAAGAGCGAACGCCTCCTCCTGGTCCCTAATGATTCCCGCTGCTGGCGCCTATGGAAAACACCCTGTACTTTTGGTGAAAAGGCTACTACTCTACAGACCTAGCTTACCTTATAACCTAGATACGTGTTAAGCATTATATTTAACTTACATAGTCTCCATTGCCCTTTGGTATTAACACGTTCATTTCTGATGATTTCGAACTAACAATTTCTACATCTAATGACTCTTGGCTTAGGTAAATTTGGCAACCATCTGTTTTGTCGATAGATATAGTTGGAACTTTACCAAACACCTACAAATAAATGCAATGTTCAAATGGTTTATTTTTCATACGCAGATTGACCTAAACTTAGATTTATTTACTACTACTTTCACTGATATTTGGATTTGGAACAATATTATCTCGTTTTGCTTCAAAAATAGCTATTGCAAAGAAAATTGATTGCAGGTAGGTATAGGTAAAAGTACATATAGCTTTTCAAAAAGTACACTCCACCCCTCACTCTACTTCCTTTTTTTAAATGTACATTACGAAAAATCATGTCACTTATTTCCGTCGGTCTGTCGATATAACTTAAAAAGTACCGCTTTGATTTTGATGCAATGTTACCTCCATGCCAAGAACAGAAAAGCTTTATAGTCTTCAGTGGCAGCGGTGCTACGGGCAAAAAATAAAAAAATAAAAAATGCCACTACTTCGTTTTTGCCTTTTCAGAGCCAACTGATCATTTTCAGAATTAGTAGCTGTGATATTCCTCATGGATTGTGAGGGAAACTGATGTATGAATACTATATTTTAGCATAAAACTGGCAATTGAAATTTCCAAGATGGCGACTGGAATATTCTTTCACTCATTCTGAAGTTCTTTGTAATTTATATACAGGATGAGTTTCTAGTGTGCGCTTGGTCGATAACACCTTTATTACGCATGGTATCTAAAAAATAATCATAATCGTAACCAACAGTATCCTACTTACTTGGAGAATATCCTCATCTCTACAAAGTGATTCATAACACTGGACAACAAATTTTAGTTTTTTAATTGTATCTTGTGGGAAAAGTCTTTGTTAATTTTGGGGCGCTGAATCCAAAAATGACAATGAAATAAAAAAATTAGTTGCGGTTTAGAAAAAAAACTTTTTATTTTTAAGGATATATTAAAAAAAGTAACAAGATTCATATACTTATAAGAATCACTATATGCGCTGTCTTTTTGCTGTTCTTTTATGGATCGTTTCTGGAGCATCTCTACCAAGAGTGCAACAGTAGTCTGCAAGCATGGAAGGATTCTACTTTCCCTGGTACCTTTTTTCCATTGTTGAAATATCCTGATGAAAACGTTCGCCGTGCTCATCACTTACGGCTCCGCAATTGTCAGGAAAAAAGTCCAGGTGTGAGTGTAGGAAATGTATCTTAAGAGACATATTACAGCCCATCTTTTGATACGATGACAGCATATTTTTGACAAGGGTTTTATAGTTGTCAGCTTTTCTATTTCCCAACAAATTAGTGACCACCAGACGGAAATCATTCCAAGCAGTTTTTTCAATACCTGTTAAAGTGTTTTCAAACTGTGTATCTTTCAAAATATTTCGAATCTGTGGCCCAACAAAAATACCTTCTTTAACCTTTGCCTCACTTAGTCTTGGAAATTTCTGACGCAGGTATTGAAAAGCTGACCCATCTCTATCTAATGCCTTGACAAAGTTTTTCATTAGGTCCAACTTGATATGCAGTGGTGGTAATAAAATTTTTTTCGAATCTACTAATGGCATATGCTGTACATTTTTTTGACCTGGCTCTAGGAATTGACGAACAGGCCAGTTTTGTCTGGTGTAATGAAGTGCCTTTGCCCGACTGTCCCATTCACACAAAAAACAGCAAAACTTTGTGTAGCCTAGCTGCAGCCCAAGTAAAAGTGCAACAACTTTCAAATCGCCACAAATATGCCATTGGTGCTCATCGTATTTTATGCATGTCAATAGGTACTTCATATTGTCATATGATTCTTTGTGGCGTTTACGAAAAACACATACCGAAACATCGTCTTCTAACAAGTTCCACTGCTGCAGTCTTGATCCAAGTAACTCTGCCTTACATTTTGGAAGTTCTAAATCTCTTACAAGATCATTTAATTCTGACTGTGTTATTTAGTGCTGTTGGTGGCATGACGTGCTCGGTATAAAATCAGGATCTCTTGACGTTGATGGCATATCTTCTTCCTGACGAATCACTCGATTGCCATGATCTGATTCGTTTTCTGATTCGCAAGTGTAGGATTCTGGGGGTTTTGGAATAGGATTTTCGTCACTGTGAGGCACAGGTCTCATCGCAGATGGTATGTTTGGGTAGTTAATAACCGTTTTTTTTTCTTGGACATACCTGTGGCTTGTCGAACACAAGGTACCATGCAAAAGTAACAATCATTAATATGATTTATAGGCTCTCTCCAAACCATTGGGACAGCAAAGCGCATAGACCGTTTTTTGCCATTTAACCAGCTCCTCACACTTGAAGCACATGTATTACAGCAGATGTGGGGTGCCCACTGTTTGTCTTGATCACCTAGTTTACAAATGAAATGAAGCTGATATGCCTTTGTTATTAGTGGAGTAATAGACCGTCTCTGAGACGCAAAAGTCACATCACCACACACAACAAAACTGATCTGGATTGTTTACACACTTTCGAGACATCTTGCATGAACGCTGTCAGCCAACTGAGGAAAAAATGGCTAATATAAAACAATATAATGTACACGTATGTATAACGTAACACAATCATGCCGATTACATCATCTTTCCTTGCCGAATATAAAAATGTAGCACGTGCATTCTTGTGAAATACAGTAGATATATTAACACTGTCACAGCAGGAACACATATAATTACCGTATCTCTAAAACTTGAACTAATATTGAAAAAATAAGTTTCATTCCGGTTTTAGCACATTAAAAATAGTAATATTTTGTTGATTTTATTTAGGATATTTTTTGGCTGTTGATCAGTGAATTATGTGGTAACCCAAACATACATGTTTTAATGAAAAAAAAACATTTTATTGCAGATTTGGACATGTCCTTCCAAATTCATCATTTTGACATAACATTCTACAGAGTTTAATTTCAAAATCGTTGAGATATTTGACATTTCATCAAAAAAAAAAAGAAAAACGCTCAACTTTTATAACTCTGATCTCCTCAAATGTTATAGCTAGAGTACTAGATTTTTAGGCGGAGATATTTTCTGATCTCATATTTCTTCCCGATCTACTTACTTTTCCAGTTTATAAAGGGTGATCAAGAACGCAAAATGAACGATTTTTAAAAATTTGCAGTTGGAACACCCTATATTTCACATCCTTTGAATCCCGTTTTCACAAGCTTTTTTATGCAAGATTTTTGGTGGTCTATACGATTGGTTTCTGAGTTACAGCTAACCTTTTTGTAAATCAGATATTGAGCCAAATCAAGGATATTATATAACATTTAAAAATTAAGAAATATCATTTAGCTGGTAACGACAGATCGTTATAATTGTGTATTTTCAGTATATACTAAATCTATCTAACCTTGTGCAATAAAGTCGAAAAGTCAGGAAGGTATTACTGTGTTGTCAGTAACTCAAAAACCCTTATAAACCTAAATTTTGAGTAATAGTTGATCGAGCGATAGCGCGTTGATCACCCTGTATAAACGATAAAAAAAACTAAAAAAATCGGTACTCTAACTAAAACCGTTCAGGAGGTACGAGTTGAGTAACTTGGGTGTTTTTTCGATCGATTGTCCAATATCTCAACAATTTGAAAATCAATAGTATGTTATATCAAATTGCTTCGTTTGAAAGGTCCTATCCAGATCTGCCATTAAATGTGTAGCTTTTGATTTAAAAAATGTATGTTTGGGTCATCACGTAGTTCTGAACCACCCTGTAGAGGTAAAAATAGTTTCCAAGTATGACTACAATTTTTGTATTTTACTTTTTCAGATAGCATGCGTAATAAGGGAGTTATTAGTTATTATAAAGTACTTTAAAATGAGTTATTACATGATCGATCACCGCCAAGATGGCGCCCAATCGCCACCAATTCCAATTGTCACTTTTATGCAAATTTCATTTCATTAAACCTAACACTCCACCTACCTGCATTTGCACAGATTGGCAGTTGATGAACTCAATAGTAGCTACAAGGTAATCACAAACAACAGCAGTTTTCTTACAGGCATCCACAACAATCGAATTGATTTTGCCTTTGACTATTACGGTAGAATCAACACATTTATACAGATATACCACATTGTTCATTTCAGCGTCTTCAACCACTAGTTGATGATTTCCTTTTTGGAACTCCTGCAAAAAGTGCAATCTCAATCATAAGTGCTAATTCTTGTTCGATCAATAGATCTTACTGCCTGACAAATGACAGTTTAGAGAAACAAAAATTGTCGATAGGTCTGAGGTAGGGCTGTCATCACCTACATTACCGATGCCGGACGAACGCTTCAAACACCCCGGATATTGGGAGAAATTGAGATTTTTCCCAGACAACCCAGACTTTTTTTATTATAAAAATATAAACATCGTTGTCAAACAAACAAATTATAAGCCATATAGCTAGGTAGATTGGGTACCCAATACCCTTAACTATTCATTGATCTAAGACCAACCCTTGCAACTACAAGCCAATAACTATGCTTTCTGTTATAAGTAAGGTGGTGAAGAGGATTAGCAACAGGCAGTATAGTTTCCGGCAGCAGTGATCCATAAAGGCCCTATACTACAACTATTTAAAACTGTAATGACTCATACGCGTGATCAACACGTGATCAGAGCTCGATCCCGGCTTCCTTCCAGTACAGCCGTATAGCGTACGACATATGTCGTTTCTGTGGCTTTGCGGTGGTCAACAGCACAGACAGAGATGGAAATAATGGCTGATTGTTCTCCGCCGGTAGAACCAATGAAATCAAAGACGCGCCTCGACCGGCAGACTCATAGGCGTCGGCAACGCATTGGAACGTGTTTCGTTGAGCGATCGCATATTGTGTGTTTTTATAAGAATTGTTGTGTGATTGTTATTGTTGTGGGTTCTGTGGTTACTGTTTTGGTTATACTTAACCATGGAGAGTACAAATGGCACGAGTAGAAGTACTGAAAGCCAGGGAACAAGTAGACGGCTTCGTAAAGCACTGAATAGGGACGCGAAAGAAATCGTGCTCAACGTGTTCAATTATCTGTACAGAACTATGTCGCAGGGAGATGCACTCGCGCGTTGTGAAAGTATGACAGGCGTTCCAGAGTGGTCCATTCGCAGGGTGGTGTATGAAAAGAAGAAAACTAGAGCTAATACTGATCCAAAGTTTAATTTGAAGGGACGAAAGGCCGTTAAATTGGATGACGATCGCAAAATGCCGTTAAGCCGAACCGTACATTCATTCTTCTTTAGGAATGAGATACCAACCCTCAAGGCTGTACATGCAGCGATCGAGGAAAATGAAATTATACCCCAAATGAGCTTCGAGGTAATGAGGAAATCCCTGCACGAAATTAATTTTCGTTACGAAACGCGTAATCGGAAGTCAGTATTGATAGAGAGACCTGAAATAGTCGCCTGGCGTCGAAAATACCTAAGCGAAATGATTGAATATAGGCGACAAAGCAGAAAAATCTATTATTTGGACGAGACATGGGTAAATGCAGGTCACACAGTTAAAAAAACCTGGATAGACAAAAACGTAGTGAGTAACCGACAAGCAAGCATTGAAGGTTTGTCAACAGGTCTTCGTGGACCGTCAGGGAAATGTCAAAGATTGATCGTAACTCATATTGGTAGCAGCGATAGTGGCTTTTTAGAAGAGTGTGACTTGATTTTCGTCTCTAAGAAAGGAGGTGATTACCATGACGAAATGAATGCCAGCTGCTTCGAGAGCTGGTTTCAAGGGGTGCTTCAGCGAGTTGAGCCCAACTCTGTGATCGTCATGGATAATGCTTCCTACCATAGTCGTCGAGCCGAACGTGTACCGACTATGGGATCTCGAAAAAGTGACATGCAGCAATGGTTGCGCGAAAAAGGAATCCCGTTTGACGATTCATGTGTGAAAGCGGAATTGTATGAAAAAATTAAACAGCACAAACCTGCGAACATTAGTTACGTGACTGATGAGATGGCCCGTCAATGTGGTGTCACTGTGCTGCGGTTACCGTCCTACCACTGTGAACTGAACCCAATAGAGCTCATCTGGGCTCAAGTGAAGGGTTATATTGCGCGCCATAACACAACCTTCAAATTACCAGACGTTAAGGTTTTACTTGAGACATCCATACAGCTAGTAACGCCCGAAGCTTGGCAGAATTCTATCCGTCATGTTGTGAAGGAAGAAACAAAAATGTGGCAGCTGGACCACCACATCGACACCATCATAGAGCCAGTTATAGTCAATTTCAACGAGGAAAGCGATATCGACAGCTTATTACTGTCAGATGTAAGTGGAAGCGACGATGAATAAAGGTAATTCCCAACCTTTTTACTTACAATATGTTTCAAACCACTCTTTATTAAGCATGTGACAAATCTAGTTCACCCATGTTAAACATTCGTACCCCGCCTATGAACAGCCGACTACTGGTACTCACGTGAACATCGATGTGTCATTACAGTTTTAGATAGTTATAGTATAGCTAACGTCACGCAATTGTTAAGTAAACTCATCCAGTCTTATGGTGAGGTTCATGTCGTTACTCTTGATATCACGAAAGCATTTGATCAGCTGTGGTATGCTACACTCTTATGCAAACTATCATCCTATAGCCTCCCAGACAAGCTTTGCAGATGGGTGGCTGACTTTCTCTCACGCCGCAAGATATTCGTCGTAATTGACGGGCTCTCCTCTTCATCCCACAACGTCAACGCGGGTGTTCCCTAGGGGTCGGTCTTGGCTCCGACACAGTTCCTCTTACATATCAACTGCCTCCTTGTCTGTATGATTAACCGAATTTGGCTCAGAGAAGAGACCATGCGTGCGTTTAGTGAGTTTCTCGTCTTGCACGAGCTAACTCATCCTGTCAAATGCTCAGATGTTAATGTGTTAATGATTCACCAGTTACCACAGATTTTCTTCTTCACCAAGTTGGTATCCGGGCCAGATGAAATGAAATAGTGGGACCAGATTGTCTGTCTGCACATGCGCACTGTGATGGCGTCGCCTGGCTGGTTTTACACGGCGGTGCGCTCGTACAAAGTAATGCGGGTCGTTATACCGAGGTGCTGCGACCTGTTGTACTAGCGTGAACAACAAAACATCTTTTTGATCATCATTCACAATATTCCTCTGACACAAAAAGTATCCGGAGAATCCCCGGATGCCCTCTACGACAAAAGCAGGGTATCCCGGACGGATGGCAGCCCCAGTCTCAGGCGACTGAGCCAGAGCGATGATCGCAGAAACAGTTTTCTTCAAATTTATGCCAAAGTAAAGAAGAATCCAAGGTTCTCGCTTTGTCTATTTCGATTAGCAATGAATAAAATATGCGAAGAGCACGTCACTATTAAATGAATGAACTTACTATAACCCATTTTTTGCCTTCTCGTGCAAACTTTGGTGGTTTGTCAGGTTGTGAACCAAACGCGTTATTTGTAGACCCAGAGCCTTTAACTGATACTGCAGAAGGATTTTTCAATGCTGGGTTTTTATGTGTTTGCATGTCTGGGGTAACTTTCTTCAAATCTGAAAATAAATTTGTGATTTTTATTAAATTTGCCCAGTCATCCTTTGACGTGTTTTACAGAGTATACTCCGTATGAATTCCAATTGGTCTATAAACAAACTTGACAGTGTGACGCAGGTCGAATTAGATCGCAAAAGCTTAGAGCTGGAAAACAAATTACCCGCAGGAATGTTACAACCAAAAATATTAGGATTTGCACGGATAGCAGAGAGGCAATACTGAGTATCCATTGATCCAAGCTTACAACGAGTACAGTACTGGACTGCCATTTGGCACTTGCCAATGCCTCCACCAGTAACAACACGTTGATTGGGTGAAGCGTCATTCACAATCCGAGGGCAATATTACTGCTGATAAACGTCAGCTACGCTAAAAGAACACACCCACAATGTCTTCAAGAACATGTGGGATGATACGTAGGGCTGCTCATTGCCGGCAGAATCTCTCGCCTAGTGAGGAAGTTGCAAAACACTACCTGTATATGTCCAGATAACAACTTCGGTTTGCCACAGGTAGCGGCGATATTCAAATCCAACCCAGTTCTCAACGCTGGTATGGCATAGATAGAACCCAGAATTATGAATCGAGATCGAAACTGCCGGAATCGAAATCGAAAGCATTGGAATCTGTTCCTTCAATCCCTGTGCGGCATCGTTCCATTAGAACGACTCGCCCAGGCAAAATTTTTTTCTCACTCAAAAATATCAAATGACAATCTAGTAAAAAATGAGCTAACTTTTATGAAACAATTGCCGCTCATGAAGAAATTGAAATAATACTAAAATGAAAATTAACTACAAATCCATTTAATGACATTAATTTTTCAGCTTTATCGTCTTTCAGTCTATTTATGCTGACAAGACAGGTGGCTCAACCTTCGAATAAAGCCGCTCGCACTGCACAAACGTTTTTTTTCTTTCAATCTCAACTAATGTGGGATAGATTTTGCTCTTTCCTGGCATCACTTCAGGGGTAACTGCAGTTCATTAAATTTTGTATCCAGTTCGATCGCACCTGCTGCGACTGACTGTTAAACTACGCAAAGACTTGTGGTTTGTCTCAAGGTCAGAGGCGTCTAAAAGATCGGATACTGCTTTCTTCGTCTTCAGGTCATTTTCGCTTGTCTTTTGTCTGCGATACTTAAACAAAAAAACGGTATCGCGAAAGGACATCTACATACATGCTTATGGTTGTCTCGGTCTGGATCATTTATTGAAAACCTTCGTAGCTGTTGATATAAAAAAACAAAATTGTACATTATTTGAGATTGAATGAGCGTTATGCACTGCATGAACCACTTATGTTCTCGGGAGCTGCGTTACTGTGTAATATGAGTGCGGTCCGATGAGTACTTAGCTTCAGCGCCCTATGGCGCCACTATCGCAAGAGAAATTTACTATCGTACATTCTCGTAGATGGCTTTGGCTACGATTTGCTGTCCCATCTACCGTATTCTCCAGATTTGGCCCGTGCGTGGTTTCCAAAATTGAAAAAGCCACTCGCCAACAGAAATGAGGAGGTTATCGCCCCTATGGAGGCCCACTTTTTCTTTTGTAGACTAAGCACTTATTGGACCACCCTCGCATTGTATATGCCATTGCAAAAGCATGATTACTCTTCTATTGGCCATCCGACAACTTACGACTAGTAACCTCCGCGCCCTGGTTAAGTTGAGCAAAAAGGGCTGATCTATCCACCCCTGGATCTGCAGACGCTGAAAGATTCATAGGCGGAGGTGGTGCTGGCGCTCCAGGTGGTGGTGGTGGTACCCCACCGCGTGGGGCCGCACCCTTTCCACTCCATACCAAACCGGTCGTGTGGTGCTGCTTGACGAACGCTTGGAGTTCTGTCAATATTTGGATCAAAGCTTTCACCCATTCCACGTGTGTTTTGTCCTTTTCTTTCCAGTCTTTCAAGACCCTGTTGGTGTAGAACTGCCCCGCGTCATTCATTTCTTTCACATACGGCGCTGGAGCAGGAGACTAGAAAAGGTTATATAGTGCTTTTCAAAAAAGAACCTTTTTTAAATGGAATGGCGCGATGTGTGATACCATATTTTGAAGCTCCTTGGGAGTACTCTGTAATCCTGGAATATAAAACCAATATCTTCCAAAATAGCGAGCTGGCAGGATATCAAAGTTGTGCGTTTATATACATGAGATAGCATGTAACTTAACAACCAATCATCAAAACGTAATAGTATGTTATATCAATATTGTTATTTTCTTCTCTGCATATACTTGCAATACTTTTTCTTCTTTATATAAGCGACCTTCCAACCCGACTTTATTCTATGTGTTCCATCTATGCAGATGATACTAAAGTCTATAACACTGTCATGAACTCATCTGTGCTTCAAGAAGACCTCAAGCTGATCAGAAAGTGGTCAGAACTCTGGCTCCTGCCTTTAAATCTATCGAAATGCTACGTTCTCCACCTGGGAAAGAATAATCCTAACTTAACATATAAGATTGGCAAACATACCTTAGAGACTGTTCTTTATCACACAGATCTTGGTCTGACAGTTAATGGCTGGCTCACCTGGTCGGAGCACATTCAGAACATAACCTCTAAGGCAAAGCGGTTGCTATATATGATGGAAAGGTCATTTAGCGGTTGCACCGTTAGTACCTCCTCCTTTTTGTACACAACTTTCGTACGACCCCTACCGGAGTTTGCTGGTCCGGTATGGGATTCAAACCTTGTTCGCGATAGCAGCTTATTAGAGGCCGTTCAGCGTCGTGCTACACGTATGCCATATGGCACACGTAGGCCAAGTTATGAAGACCGCCTCGAGCTATATAACCTGCCTGCTTTTGCTGATAGAAGAGTACGAGGAGATCTCATCATCACTTTCAGAGCACTGCATAATTTGTTTGGTGTGGACATGTCGCATCTGTTTCGTCTGGCCATAACTTCAAATTGCAGAAGGAAGCTTTTAGAACCTCTACTCGTCAGCGCTTCATCTCAAACCGTGTCTTCGATGCATGGAACAGTCTTCCATCTTATGTAGTGAACTCGGAATCCGTCAACAGTTTCAAAAACAATCACGATAGACACCGCAGTGCTTAACATATTGTTCCCATTCTGTATATGTCTACTTCAGAAGTGCTAAGATTGTCAAATTGTTATATTTCTTTTGTCTGTACACTATTATCTATTTTTGTGTTTGAGTTTATAGTACTTGTACTCAACTCAAATTTGTTGTTTAATAATAATAATAATAATAATATGTACTGAAATACGGACATTCCATTTAAAAAAAATCCGTCAAACTGAATAACCCATAAGCAATTCGATGTAAAAAAATGCCTAACTATGAGAGCTAAGGAACATTTGGACGATAGTCATTTTATGCTTTAGGGTTATAAAGTACTTATGAGGAGATTCAAAATGAGGTACCACACGATCAGCCATTTCATTAAAAAAAATGTTACAACATGGCACCCAGCCGCCATCTTGCAATTTTCAACTGTTATCCTTACATTAAAATATAGCATTCATGTGTTAATTGTAACCTCCAGAGATTCAGCTTTGTAAGTGATTTTTTTGAAGTTGATATAAACATAGGTCCGGAAATGTTTCCTTTCTTGTTTCTTTGATAATTTGGTTTATCGTAAAAATCGTAACTTTAAGAGGTGATTCCTTGCATTATTCTAAGCAAAAAAGTTCGTATTTCTTTTTAGTCATGAAATAAATTAGCCTATTTTGAAAGTTTTTAAAGAATTGTAACGATTGGCTCAATAAATTTTTTTAAATCGACTCAGTCCTATTACTTTCCGGACAAACCCTGTACTCTTCACTCCATGTACAAGACACAAGATACAAGTACTCTATTAGGGCGACAGCACGTGTCTGGCTACTGACGTCATGCGGTCTAGTCTCGCGTACAGGTACGTTTTCTAGCCTCGCGTCGATCCGTGATTTTAAAATGCTTTCCGTCGACGTAAATATTAATATTTTGCACTCAAATTTCTTTGACCGTTTTTTAATTTTAATTAAAATAAGAGAATTGGGTATCTTTTCATGTAACAAATGAGTCAATGTTTTTACTGACCACAGTGACCCATCCAAGTGCAGGAATGCTCTCGCTGACAGCTGACAGATGGTTGAAAAATGGCGAAGTCCGATTCTTTTCCCGAAATTCTTGGATAGCCATTATGCTGTCGCTTGTGGGCTTGAGCAGGTTCATCAGATCGTTTTGATTCGCGGGCTTTGCAGATTGGCTCGCGATCTGCAAAAACTGCAGTTGCGTGTGGAAAGCACGTTCAACCAGTTGACTGTGCTGGGCAACATCTCCTCCAATTTTTCTCGAGTACTGGAGATACTGGGCAAATGGACCTTGCAGGATATCGTTGAATGCCGAGAAACTCATGATTTTGAGTTTCTGTTCTTACCTGAAAAATAAGGTGCAAAGTCATCAATTGATTTTCGATTTACAGTGGACACCAACGGGACCTAGTGAACGTGTCCATTCAAGTACGTATAAAAGAAATACAACAAAAATCGCGTCTTTAATGAAAACTGAATATATTAGAGAAACTGAGACATTCAAAGCGTATATGTATATATTTTTTTAAAATAAACAAAAAACTTTAATATGCTTTCGCGATTGCAATACAGCTTACCTTTGCAAAAAATGTCAAACATTTTTAAATCATTTAAAAAAAAATACTAGACTCGTTATCTTTTTTGTCAGTGCATGTCCCTTAGATCCGCTACTGGATTCTATGATTAAGGTAACGTATCATCATAAATATTTCGATATTGTTATCATGCTAACAACCGATAAGGCTGTTTGATGAAACAACACAAACTTAAAACTCTTCAATGTTCCTCATTTGTTGGAGATTACTAGTAAATCGTCATTCAAATAACATTAAATATGTGTTAAGTATTTGAAGCTGTTAAGATAAATAAAAAATGAGTCAAATAGCTTAGCTCAGTACTTCTACGAATCTCAGGTTTTTGAACATATAAAAGTTACTATTGCTTGGTTTATGAGCTACTCCACAAAATGTATGTGCTCCTAATTCACCAAAAAGTTTAAAAAACGTTTTTTACTCTATAACGCAGAAAAAAATTAGATTATGTTCGAATACTCAACAAAAATTTCGACGCGCGACGTTTTGAAACGTTTCGAGATGATCCATGCTTGTAACTCAACTTTATGATCAGCAAAACTCAACCCCTCTTGGAAAAAAGTTAACTACCCACATGTATAATAAAGGAATTGAATTGATCAAGTAAGTCGAATGGCCCATAAAATTAATGTCCAGTCCCCATTAATTCGAAAACGTTGCGAAACAGAAATACTGAAATCCTGTATTCGAATACGAATACTGAATACTGTATTTTAAATTGTTATCGAGTAGGCAGGATTACACAGCGAAAATTGTTCAAATACCGCTGTTTGGAGTAACTGGATTCATTTGAATATTAATAATTTTGAATAATCCGACTAAAAAAACAAACGCACCTTAAACTTGATTTTTATTTATGTACTCTAAAAATTTAAAAAACTGAAAATACATGACTATAATAAATAAAACTTGAAATATCATTTTGATACACAGTGGCACAATGAGGTTATACAAATTAGTTGTATAATATAAAACATTTTTTGATTTCCATTAGATTTTTATAGAAAATTAATATAATAAAATATATGAATTTTACACAATAAACCAATATAATAAAAAATCGAACTTTTTATACAGGACTTCGAAGTTGAGTCATTTATTTTAACAGTGTGTAGATCTGATCAAAAGAAATGTTTTTTTCCTTTACCATTTTTCTGGTAAAATTAAAGTAACAAAGTTATAGCCCTTTGGAAGTTTGAGTACCGCCCTGTCTCAATAATATCATGTGTTCGTGTTTGGCAACAACGGTTCATCGCATCGGAAACAAAAAAGCGAAAGAATTTGGAACGATGTTTTTACGATTACAATTCAGTTCAGTTATACATACAGTCAGTTTCAGTCGCGTGTGAATAGTGTCTGTTGCGTGGCTCAAACGAAATAAAAAATGGCACATGTTTATGCGGATCGGTTTCCCAATCGAGTGCAACCAACCCCTCGTGCCTTTGTTAATGTAGTACAACGGGCTCGTGAATCAGGTGACTTAAGACCTCACAGGGGACCTCACGATCAAATACAGGTCCGCACTGAAATACTTGTCGGGAGCATACTTTATAAAACAAGGTAAAATTTTTTTTTAATTTATTTTTTATTTTTACACACATATTTTGGTTTATCTTCCTTCTACAATCATTATCTGAAAATTAATGACTCAACTTCAAAGTCCTACTTTACCTACTTTACATGGTATCCCACACAAATTATAAGTTATTTAAAGTTATTATAAAATAGAATGGCAAAATTACACAAGCACAACTGCATAAGTAATATAGTCGTTCCTTAAGCAACCTGTCGGAATTGGGAATTCAGAAGCACCACCGTGTACACAAACTAAATAACTTTGCTTGTTTGTACCATCACAACCACCACACAATATTCATGGGAATAGCTAAACAGTATTTCAAAACACAATTCCAATACAGGATTCGAATACCGGGATTTGAATACAAAGTGCGAATTCGAATATTGGAATTCAGAAATGGTATACAGAATACCGAGTACTGACCAAAAAAGTATTCAGTCGAATACCAAAGACCCAACACGCAAATATATTCGAATCGTATTCGAATACCAGACAAATGTATTCTGGATAAGATTCAAAATACCGAGTATTCGATTACTACTCAAGTCGGGTTGCTATTAGAGTTGCGATGAGTAAATCTCCAGCGGCAGCAGTTATATCGCGACGGGTTGAAATCCCATTTTTGTTGCGCTCGACTCGGGTATCGAAGATACTCTTTATCTATGTGAAATATGTGTTTAATAGGTGCATAGAATTACGGGAGCTGGAAGCGTGTACATATACTAAGTGACATATAAATCCGAACACCCAGTTTAAATGGTTTTATTTTAATAAAATTCTGTATAAGTACTTAATGAAGCATAATAAGTAAATGATAAAAATTTCAAAATGATTGCACTGCTTTAAAGCCCTTTGACCTTTAATAATGTGTGGATGCACCCTGATGTGCTACGCATTCTCCAACGCGCCTAGGCATCCATCTGATCAGGTGGTCAATGTCCTCCTGTGGTATCTCATTCCAGGCAACCACCAACTCCTCTCGAAGTGCTTCTAGAGTCTGAGGAGGACGTTGCAAATTGAGCAATCTCCTACCCATCCTATCCCACACGTGCTCAATTGGGGATAAGTCGGGAGATCTTGGTGGCCATGGTAACAATGTGACATCATTATGTTGAAAAAAGTCTATTGTGACTCTTGCAACATGTGGTCGGGCATTACCTTGTTGGAAAGTTGGATCTGCCAGGGTGTCAAGATAGGGTAAAAGATGGGGTTATAGAACTTCGTGGATATAACGCTGCGCGTTCATGTTACCTCTGATGAAGATTAAAGGTGACCTGGAACCATAAGCTATAGCACCCCTCACCATAACTCCAACAGTGTGATGAACATGTCTTTCAACAAAAAACTGTGGATTCCTCCTTTCACCACGTCGCCTTCTAACCCTGGCACGACCATCATGCATGCCTAAGCAAAATCGAGACTCGTCACTAAAGACAATACTGTTCCATTCCTGATCCCAGAGTGACCGTTGTCTGCACCACTCAAGGCGATTACGTCCGTGTTCTCGAGTTAAAGAAAGGACCCAGTGTGGCCGGTATGAAAACAAGCCAAAACTTCTCATTCGTCGGTAAACACTTCGCATGCCAATAGGTCTTCCGTGTTCTGCAAACCATTCATTTGCAATAGACCTGGTAGTGGAGAAACGGTCCCTTAAGGCCAATAATCTTAGGCGGCGATCTTCACGGTCTGTTGTTCTACGGCGGCGTCCAGTACCCCTTGCTCTTTGCGTACGGCCTTCTCGAAGCCACGCCTGACAACGCCTAACCACAGTGTCTACACTTCTTTGCACTCTAACTGCAATTGCCCGAAAAGAAAGTCCAGCTTCCCGAAGTCCCACCATACGGCCCCTATCAAACTCACTAATTTGACGAAATCGTACATGTCTCCGTACTCTAGGCTTCGTAACCGATCTTAAAGGATGTCAAGAACCAAAATCCGCCAACGTTGATTCTTTACTGCGGCTGAAATATTCATTTTTAGAGCGTTAGTGAATTAAAAAAAAGCAGTATAAAAACCGGAATGTCCAACTGATAAGGCTGAAAGTTTTTTCACTTGTTATTTACAGTAAGATAAATACATTCACCAACTTTTATTAAAATAAAACCATTTAAACTGGGTGTTCGGATTTATATGTCACTTAGTATATATAGAGTCAAAAAATTCTATTTTTATTTTTTTCCTTTTTTGCCCCCAAGCTACGTCGCCGCTGGATCTATTTCCAAAACCTACAAAGGCTTTTCGTCATTGGCATAGTACTAGCTTTGTGTCAATATTTCAATAAAATCTGGATGGTACTTTTCAAGTTAGAGAGAGGCAAGAATTAGCGGAAAGACAGACCGACAAAGATGACTGACATGGTTTTTCATAGCGTACAAGTCACGCAACAGCCAAAAAAGCATAAATGGGTGAAATCTTGCCCTGGACAATATTATTAACACATTGGAGTTAGCTTTTCTAAGTGGCGAGAGCAAAATATGTCATGCTTGACAAAAATAGTAGCAAACATATTAAAGCTTAATCATATTTACTCGGGTAAAAATATCCAAAATTGTTTAATTTTGGTAAGCAGAATGATATATGGTACAGGTAAAGCTCAATGAGCCGGATAGGTTTACTAGCGTCAATTATATCATAAGCTAACAACTGCCAAAAATAAACTAAATAATACTTACTGTTGGTTTTTCCTAGTGAGCTATTGTGCCGAATTTTTTGATTACATATGCGTCTATAGAAGTTCACAACTGAATTACACTACACTGAGCGTTTTAGATGAGCAATATGATATTTTTGGAATGACTCTGCTGGCATGTTTTTCTAGATTTTCGTAACAGCAGCAAAGCACCATTGAAAAATCGTATTTATGTAATTCGCATTTTCCAACAAAACTAAAAACAACACACCGATGTTGCAAATTTGATGAATATTTATTATACAGTATGTTGCCCCTAGCATGACACAACCTATGTATCATAGGTATTATAAGAAACAATACGAATAAGGCTTGGTGCAATTAGGTCGCTTAATTAGGATGATATACATGGTAACTAAAAATTAAAATGCTTCAGAAGTGGTTCAAATGACCACTGCCGTACTTATTTTAGGTCGCTGAAGCCAAAGTCATTCTGAATGTATCTGGTCCCGTTTATCATGTTCATCATTCAGTGAGAAATTACGCAAAAATATGCGGCTTTGAGGTGCTAAAAATCAATTTTCGCTATCAGTGGCTACATGCAAACAAAGCTTGGTGTAGTTAGGTATCATTTGACGCTAAATTCAAATATGATAGTGTAAAAATGGTATCGAGCAAGCTGACTCTGCACATTACACGCATCAGTTCAGAAATAATTATACAGGGTGGTCCATAAGTCCTTTGAAATTTCAAATTTGAATAAAATTTAACGGGTGAGCGTGAGCGGCGCGGGCGAGGTGGGGGCAGTATCTTCAGTGTCTGGGAATTCAGTCGCCATGGAGTGTTTCACTGGAGCGGATCGTGCTTTTTGTGTGCGCGCGTTTTATTAAAATAATGATTCGGCAACCATTGCGCGGCGTAAATATCGAGAATACCACAATTTACACAATTTTACAAAGTGTCCAACAGCTCAAACGATTAAGAACTGGATTGCTAAGTTCGAAGAGACTGGTTCGACGTTAGATAAACAGCGGTGGGGCCGACCAAGGACAACTCGTATTGAAGAAAACATCAACATTGTGGCACAGTCTGTTCGTCAAAATCCTACCCAGTCTACTCGTAAGCGTTCCAGTGCACTAAACGTACCCAGAACATCTTTACACCGGATTTTAAGGAAAGATTTACGTCTGCACGCTTACAAAATTCAGTTAGTGCAGGAATTAAAAGACGCTATTCAGAGACTAAACTTTGCGAATGAAATGTTGAATCGTTTTTCTTCGCTCAATAATGTGTTGTTCTCGGACGAGGCTCACTTCCATTTAAACGGGCATGTAAATAAACAAAATTGCCGTTATTGGAGCCCCGAAAACCCAAGGCGTAAGCATCAGAAGCCCTTACACAACCCTAAAGTTACAGTTTGGGCTGCTATGTCAGCGTATGGCATCGTAGGCCCTTATTTTTTTGAGGACGACAGAGGTCGCGCATTAACTGTTACTTCGGAGTGGTATGTAGCAATGATAGAAGAGTTTTTGACACCAGCGTTGCAGAATTTTCCAGGCTATAATACGCAGACCTGGTTTCAACAGGACGGAGCAACTGCCCACACCTCCAACACTTCTATGCCCGTCGTCTGTCAACTTTTTCCCAGCAAAGTAATTTCTCGAAGAGGAGACATTTCCTGGCCACCACGTAGTCCAGATTTGACCCCAATGGACTTCTTTTTATGGGGCTACCTTAAGAGTAAAGTTTACGACACCACTCCGCGATCAGTTGATGTCCTGAAAGAAAATATCCGAAGAGAAATGGCAAGCATTACAGTGTTGACTTGCCGCGCAGTCATCGACAATTTTAGACGTCGTTTATATGAGTGCCGTGATCGTAATGGATTGCATTTAGACGATGTGATTTTTAAAACATAATTCCCATTCAATAAAGATGATAACAAAATATAATAATTCTTCATAATGTAACTAGTTTGGTTTTATTCCTTTTTTTCCAGCTCAAAGGACTTATGGGCCACCCTGTATAAGGCCCCTCTTAGAAACACGGAAGAACATTTCAATACAATCATCGTTTCGTTTACGTTCACACATTTCTACAACTCCCTACACCCTTAACGTGTATCCTGGGATCACTAGTGCATGCCTTCTAAACGGATTAGTCCACGCTTCGTCAGTGCGTACAATAAGTTCAACGCGTTTATACGATTTTCTCAGGAAGAATGTGAGAACGCTGAATGGCGGCCACCCATCGCATCGGGCAGTCCGCGATACAGGTACGTATACGCGTGTGTTGAAAATATGTCGTTCCAACAAAGCCTTGTACCGTACAGTGAATCATAATGAGCGTGCGCAGTACGTTTTAAGTGACACTAAGAACGTACTGCGCACGCTCATGACGGTTCACTGAACGAAGCCAATGAGAATCAATAACACAAGTGGATGGGGCATGCGTAATGAGCTGTCATGGGGCACTGCTACGCTTGGTTTCGCTAACAATTTCTTTAATATTCGTCATGCAAAAATAACAATCATCTACGTGATTACAATGTTCGCTCCAAACCATTGGAACTGCGATTTACTTACCTTTCAGCCATCCCGTCAACACGAACAGCAATACATTTTTGGGGTCCAGAACTTGTCTTTTTTTTTCAAATTCAAAGTTCAAATTCAAAGTTCATTCAAATTCAAAAACCAATATAACTTACAAATTAAAAATAACCTTCAGTACAATTTAAATAAAAAAAAGCTTCAAAAATACATGAGCTTGTATGCTCTTGCTACCCTGAATAACCAAGCTTGCAACAGAAATCTGAGCAAAGATACTAGCATCAGATCTAGAACCAGCAAGTAACAGTATATGAATTGTGAAAATTCTGTATACTTTCGTAAAGGGTAAATGTCTGGATCTTGTCGTCACAAATCCTAAATTACGTGTCTGCATAAACAAATCTAAAATTCATAACAATAGTACAGAAGCATACTAAAAACACTCAGAAGTATAAATATAGAGTACATAAAATATGAATATCTGAAATATGATAATAGAGGGATATTTCGAGTAAGGTGAAACTATATTGTTTAAACAATAAAAATTTTGCTTAAAGGTTAAGCAGAGAAACAAGAGTACTACAATTTACTACAAAAGAATTTACTACAAAATAATAGACACCTAAGCTATAAGCTTGTGTGTGTCATACAAATATACAAATTCAATGCATGGCTAATGGTCATAAGGTATATTATGAGCAAATGTATATAAAAAAAAGAAATAAAAAAAAACATTAGATAGAAACGAAATTACTGTGTTGAGTCAAGCTACCGTCGATGCAAGCATGTCAAAGTTATTTAAGATGAACTTCTTAATTCTTTTTTTGAAACTATACTTCGAGAGGATTTTATATTCTAGGGGTAATTTATATATACAACCTAATACCATCAAACTTTATGCATTTTTGGCAAACAGATTTATTCACTCTGGTATAGGTGTAACTTATATTTATTTTAGTTCTTGTTTCATAAGCGTGGCTGGTTGGAACATTGTTTCGGGAGTGAACAAATTTTAGAGCAGCAAAAATATATAAACCTCTAACATTCAAAAGATCATTTTCAATGTAAACAAATCTGCAACTTGACCTACATGGGATACGAAAAATAGTCCTGACAATATAATTTTGCGTGGTTTGCAGTATTTTTAAAGTACTAGTGTATGCGGCTCCCCAAATACTTATCCCGTAAGTTAGTAGAGACCCCACAAACGAGTTATATATTGAGAGAAGACTCTTTCTGCTTAAAATATTCCTAAGAATGAAAAACTTATGAATAATTCTCCTTAATTTCGATGCCAAAAGCTCGGCATGACTCTGCCATTTTAAATTACTGTCAACAATGATTCCTAAGTATCTAATAACTTCAACTCTTTCGACAGTATCAGCACTATCATTTATAATTAATGTTCGGTGGTGTAATGGCATGCCTGCTTTGGTTGGAGAAAACGTTACATACTTAGTTTTAGAGATATTAAGTTTAAGTAAATTGTTATCCAACCAGCATTTGACTTTATTTAATGACAACTCGGCATTCCGTATTGCGTCATCCCATGAATGACCAGTGCAAACTAAAACAGTATCGTCTGCATATGATATCATCTTACAGTTGAAATTACATCGAAGTAGTTCATTTATGTATATGAGGAACAGTGTTGGTCCCAAAACTGACCCCTGAGGCACACCTATTTTGATCTTTTGAATGTTGCTTAAATCTGACCCTACCTTAACTTGTTGTGATCGATCAGCCAAATAGTTCTCAAATAAGTTCAGAACTCCACTACGCACTCCAACACATTCTAGTTTCTTTAATAAAATTGTATGAGATACTAAATCGAAAGCCTTTTGAAGATCTAGGAAAACTGCAACAGTCTTATTTCCATCTTGAAAATTTTCAAGCACTTGTCCTGTAAGTTCTTGTAGAGATTGCTCTGTATTGCAATTTTTGCGGAACCCAAATTGACAGTTCGATATTATGTCATATTTCTCAAGAAAAGAACAAAGTCTGTTATTCAAACACTTCTCAAAAATCTTCCCAAATACATTGATAACTGAAATAGGTCTATAATTGAACATATTGTCTTTACTTCCAGATTTAAATATTGGTGTCACTATGCTTTATTTAAATTGGCGAGGAATTACTGAGGATTTGAAACAGAGGTTGATAATGTGAGTTATAGGGTGACTGATATACTTCATGATCATCTTGATAGTTTTAGTGTGTAAGCCATCCTTTCCGGGTGCGCTATTATTTTTCAGATTACAAACTATTTGCTGTAACTCTATGTTATCCACTGGAGTTAGAAACATAGAGTGAGCAATGTTGACGACATGAGGATCTGATGTATCAAGAATTGAGTTTTGATCAATCTGACTTGTTATTTGCTCACCTATATCAACAAAATATTTATTAAAAACACAGGCTATATCAGTGGGAGCGTCTAGCTGCTGATTATTGTGATTAATTGATTTTACGTCATTTTTTTTTTATTTTGCCAGCATTAGTTACCTCATTAATAACATCCCAGCTCTTCCTATAGTTATTACCAGCTAAAATGAGTTTTTGTGTATAATATTGATTTTTAGAGATCTTAATAAGATTAGTTACTCTGTTTCTGTAGGAGATATAGGACTGTCTCAATATCAAATTATCATTATCTTTCGTCAAACTCTGTTTCAACTCATCTCTCTTCTTGATCGAAGTAAGAATACCTTCAGTCATCCACGGCTTGCGTTTTCTGGTCTTACTATTTATTTTTAAATAATAAGTTGGATGGTCTATGCCTTTATATAATTCATTATAGAAGTTATCAGTTGCTTTTTGGACATCACTCTTGATTGCCAACTTTGCATCCAAAGTACAGTTCTTTTACTTCTTCGCCACAAATATAACAGAAGTTATCGGTTTTATTAACGCAAATTCGCGTCGACGTTTTCGTCATTGTCTTGAACATGCACGTATATCTAAGCGAAAATAAAAATAGATGTTTACCGATAATTATAAAGTAAGGACTAATGGAATATTTCCAGTATACATCCAACTAACTGTAGATAATAATAGGAGGCTAATACAGGGTGTGGCAGAGAGGATGGACGGTTTTAAAAAAATCATAAAATAGTTAATTTTTACTCGAAAACAAATTTATTGATGGAATCAGGTTCATAAGGAAATAGCATTTGAGACAGTCAAGTGTGGAAAATCACATCAGGCATGTGGTGGCCGAAATCGTTGATGCAGTGCTGAAGGCGTTCTTGGAAGTTCGCGTAGACTCTCTCAAACACCGCTCTCTCAACTTGGGCGACTTCCATGCGAATTTCGCCCTTCAATTCGTCCAGAGTTCGGGGCTTGTTCGCGTATACTCTAGCCTTGAGGTGTCCCCATAATAAAAAAATCGCATATGGATAAATCTGGGGACCGAGGAGGCCGATGAACATCGCCAAACCTGGAAATAAGGCGACCAGAGAAGAGAGGGCGAATAACGTCCATGGATGCTCGGGCTGTGTGGGCGGAACCACACACGTCGGATTGGAAAACGTCGCCGTCGTAATTCAGGGAGAAAGAAGTTGGTGATTATGTCGACGTAGCGCTCTGAGTTCACGGTAACATCACGACCATAACCGTCTTCGAATAAGTAAGGGCCAATGATGCAAGTTTGCGATACAGCGCAATAAACCGTTACTTTTGGGCTGTGCAGCGGTCTTTCGTGTAACTGTTGCGGATTTTCATTAGCCCAATAACGACAATTCTGCTGATTAACCATGCTGTTTAGGTGAAAGTGGGCTTCGTCACTCATAAACAAAATGAGGTTCTCATTTTGATCGATCAGTGTTTCCATCTCACCTGCGAAGTTCATTCATTGTGCATAATCTCCGGGCTGTAACTGTTGCACAATGGCCAATTTGTAGGGGTGAAAGCGGAGATCCATATGCAAAATTCGCCTTACCGAACGACCACTAAGGCGAAGTGCAGCAGCATGTTTCCGGGCAGATCGAGTCGGACTGCGAAGAAAGACCTGTCGAACGCGTTCAACATTTTCAGGTGTTCGAACTGTTCGCGGCGCTCCTCTTGGTCTTCTGTTGATCAGTTCACCACGCCTGCGAAGTGATTCAACCCAACGAAGGATGGTGTTTCGAGAGGGAACAGCTCTATTCCGATGAATGTTGAAGTGGCGACGAAAGTCACGCTATACGACGATGACTGACTCATTATTTCGAACGAAACAATCATAGGCGAAAACGCGGTGCTCCACCATCCAAAGCTCCATAACGACAACTGGTAAAATAATGCTAGGATCTCGCTAGTCAAACGGCACCCTCCCCACCTCTCTCGTAGACGGTGGAAAACGTCCGTCCTCTCTGCCGCACCCTGTATATTAGTATAAGTCCGAAATGTTACAAAACACACGATATTTTTACAGGGAGGATTTTTGCGTTGAACAGTATTATTTGTGAAGTATGTCTAAGTTGCTCTCAGTACCGAAGAGAGTATGTTAGCCAAACATTTTACATGCAATGTAAATTTTGTCGTAATCTGCCTCTCAAAATGTTAATAGTTGACTATCTTACAATAAACAAAAATTCATAATATACTGTGATTAAATTTGCTATAGTCTTGAGGCAGAATTTCATTTACTTGTGGGGAGGTATCTAGCAATAGTGCGCCATCTATCCTTGAGCGGGCCCTGAACATTGGTGGACTAAATGGGCTCTGGATTTGGTTTCAGCGACAAAAAAGCGTATTATAAGCATGGTGGGACTTACATTCCTAACTGTTTCA